CCTTCCTTCCTTTCATAGTCTTTCTCTCTCTCCTTACTAAAATGCAAACTTTTGAAAACAGGGCTTTTGTTCGTTTTGTTCATTACTGTATCCTCCGGAGCCAGCTCAGTGCCTGGCATATATACTCAATATATGTTAAATAAAAAAATCGTTGCCTGAACAGTTGATTTTTCCTTCCTTTTCTCCAGGGCCTACCACTTCTCTCTTGCTACAACGTTTTTCCTTTGGCTTAACAGCTAAGAGATCAGATGACAATATATTTTACATCATCTCTAGAGGGGAACTTCACTGTAGTGGCAGGGGGTATTTTTTCTCCATACTGACATCTCTACCTACTAAAATCCAATCTACTTGGCAAATCCTACCCTTCTTCTCTGGGGCATTAGCCTTTAGTTTTCCATGGTAATCTCACAGGAAGGTTAACATTAAAACAAGGGTAGCATTTCCTTGGCAAAACTGGCTTCCTGCCTCTGCTCCCCCTCCTTCTTCCCCTGTGGATGAGGAACGGATGCTGTAATAAGCCATAAATTCCTGACTGGGCAGGTCATGGTGGGTATATAACTTTAGTGAAAACTTTTAAAGCAAGCCTTGCTCACTGTTCTTATACACACCTCTGAGATGCCATAAGTAATACTCAAGACATAACCACCCTTAAGAAAGCACGTAATGTCCTAATCCAATGCGTTTTGCTTTCTCCCATGCTCATCTAATTTTCCTTGCATTCCTGCTTCAATTTTAAATGCATAAAAGAAGTGCAAACTATTATTCTTTGGAGAATTTGAGATCTCACTCCCCAGCATATGTCATCAATTTGACTCAAACTCACAAAAACTCTCTGCAGCTTTGGATGTTTCTTATGGTAATAGCTTTCTTACAGGCAGTGATTCTTGAGCTTCAAATGCTGCCCTTGATGTGTCACTTAACCTGGTTTTGCCTTGATAAAAATGTTAGAAGTGGCCAAAGGCATGGGAACATGAGGGAAGCCTTCACTTATACCCTCTAGGATGGACTTCAGCATCTAGTACTGTTGGGAAGGGCTGACTAGGTACTAACTCGAACTTTACCATGGCCTCCAAGAGCACTCTCATATCCTTGCTGTGAGGCCTTTATTTTATCTGCTGAACCACAATTTCCTCCTCTATATAGAGTTAAGTCCACCTTGCTCACAGGATTAGATGTGGGAATCAAATGAGATAATAACTTGAGCGAAATATCTAATACTGTTCTTGACACATCTAAATAAGCACTTTGTAATACATTAACTTTTTCCCTACCAGGAGGTAGTCTTTTATTGTTTACTCTGTTAGATCAACTTCATATAGCAGCTGGCGGCTAGCTTCTCCCCAGGAAATATGACTTGGCCATAGCAATGCAATATGAGGTGCAAGATTCTGAGAAAGGGCAGCAAGAGGATAAAGATAACTGAAGGGTGCCCCAAGACAGAGTGTAACCTAGACTGGGCTCCCAGCCAGAAATTTACCATTAGTTTCACAGGTGCTAGGGCCCAGAGAATAACCCCTCCCTAAATTCTGAGCAGGCCCAGGTTCAACTCATCAGGTCATGGACCAGCCACTCGCCACTTTTTTCTTCCAAAGCCACCGAGCTGGTTGTGGAAACTTCGATTAGAAATCACTACCTGGAACCACACAGTCTTTTGTTCTAAGGATTACTCAGAGATTAGTGCTACTGCAAACCGGCTCTAAGGACCTAGTAGGGAAAAGTGGACAAGTTGCCGGAACCGGTTTGGCTCAGTGGATAGAGGACTGAAGGGTCCTGGGTTCGATTCTGGTCAGGGGCATGTACTTTGGTTGCGGGCACGTCCCTCGAGGGGGGTGTGCAAGAGGCAGCTGATTGATGCTTCTCTCTCATTGATGTTTCTAGCTCTCTATCCCTTTCTCTTCCTCTCTGTAAAAAAAATCAATAAAATATATATTTTTAAAAGAAAAGTGGACAAGTTAATTTTTATGTTTTTTTAACCAACCGCCTACTGTGTGCTAAGCCCAGACTAATCAATCCGTAAAGTGAATGCTACTAACTTCTATTTTAAAGGAGAAAACCGGGGCTCAGAAACAGTGACTGACTCGCAAACGGAAAACAAAATGCAGTGGGCTCAGCCCCAGAGGTCAAAGCCCGGGTTCCTCCTGGCGCCCACGTGCTCTCTTCTCCCCACCCACCGGGGACCGGCCGGTGCTCGCCCCCGACAGCGGAATGACGTCACCGCGGGGCGGGGCTTGGGCCCGGAGCGCGGCGCCTCGGCCCGCAGAGCCGCGCCGTCAGGAAAATGGGGTCGGGTGCGGCCCGGCCCGGCCCCACGTGCTCCGCTGTCCCGGAGGGCCCGCGAGTTAGATTCCAGGACCGGTCCCACCCGCATGAGGGCGTCAGAAGTCGGTGCCCAGCCTAAAAGCGAACCTAAAGGCGAGCTGTCCTGGGGGCGGACCGGCATGCCGGCCCACGACCTCGGGAGAGCCTTGCGCCCCGCCGCCGGCGCCCGTCCCCGCCGAGACCCGCCTCGTCTGCACCTTCCCCGCAGCGGGGCCCGGGCTCGGCCCCGCAGTGGGTCACGAGGCGGGCCGCGGAGCGGACGCAGCCCCGTCAGGCCCAGCGGGGTCCTGCGCTCCACACCCCCCTTCCTTCCTCCTCCCCTCGTGCGCCACGTACGCGGCCCCGCCCCGCCAGCCGCGCGGGGAACCCCGGTGTCGTCACCGCCCTAGCACTCGCCTTCCCGCGCTCTCCAGAAAAGACGCGAAGGTGGGGACGTGTCGGGGGGAGCCAGTGCGGCTGCGCCGGAGCCTCGACCGCAGAACGCCCAGCGGCGCCGCCTGGTGGAGGGAGAGGGGTCACACTGGCCGCGAGCGGCGGCGCGGGCTGGAGGACGTGACTGACGTCATCTCGCGGAGGCGAGAGGCCATGGCCGCGTGACCGCCTCCCAGCCGCCGCGGTCCCCGTCTTGTTTTCCTCCTTTCAGTACGGAAGTTTGATTTTTATGCCCCTTGTTTTGTGGTTGTAACCTTGCCATTTTTCGAATTGACCAAAGTAAATGTTCATTATAGGAAATTTGAGGAGATAAAATGAAAACCAGCATATATATATATATATATATATATATATATATATATATATATATATATATATATATATATATATATATATATATATATATATATATATATATATATAGCGATCTTGCTGTATAACAGTGGTATTAGGTACAAAAATTCTCAAGGATTATCCTACCTGGTTTGGCTCAATGGATAGAGCGTTGGCTTGCAGACTGAAGGGTACAGTTAAGGGTTGAGATAGCCAGTCAATGATTCTTTTCATTGATGTTCCCATCTCCCTCTCCCTTCCTCTCTGAAACCAATAAAAATATATTTTTAAAAATAATTCTCAAGGATGGACAAAGCACCAATACAGCCTCACAGCTAAGTTAGAAAAACACAAAAGAGAGGAAGAAGTGCAAATAATAGGCAAAAGTGTAATGGTTACTTATTTAATGAGCGTTTTTCAGTCAGTATCCTATTTACTATGCACATGATCCAGGCTCAGAGGGTTAAACAGGTGCCAGAGTGGGGGTTTGAACTCAGGGCTTCAAATCTGAAACTTTAGAATGGTGGGTTCCTGGAGAGGGCAATGGAAAATGTGGTGCTAGGGAGAAGGCAGAAAAACCGCAGGAAGTTATATGGTTATATACCCACTGTCTACTTCTGGGGCTGTGGAGTTAGAACTAGATTGGAGGAGCAAGACCAGTGCCCCTCCATCAGTAGGAGCAGCTTTATGGGAGCATGCCATAAAGCAGCTAACACTAATACACTGCATTGAAACACCTAGCTATGTGCTAACTAGACCTAAAGCCACATGCAAGAGCAACTGTTTGCTGCCATTGACCTCCAGTCCTGCCCCCATTGGTGGCATGAAAGGTGGTCAGTCTAGCAGTGTCTCTACAATTCAGCACTTTCTGCATCCAGCTTGATGATACAAATAGATAACCTTGGACCCCACTCTAGAACTTCTGAATCAGAATATGTGTTCTTACTAAATTCCTGGGTGATTCCTATGCACATTAAAGAACTGTTGTAAAAAACAAGTCATTCTATTCCCTTGATGAAGCAGGTGGGATGGTAGTAAGATCTGGAAGATGGGAAGGCAGGCAGACAGGGAACAAAGTCTGGAAGGGGATTTAACAAGAATATCAAATTAGAAATATTAGAAAATACCACAAAATGCAAAGGAGGAAAACTAGGAACTCAGAATCAGGGAGAAAATAAGAAAAAAAAATAGGTTGAAGTAGGCAGGTCCATCTTAGGGAAATTCACTAAACACAGAGCTGTTCTTTGTGGGGTTTTTGTGTGTGTGTGTTGTCTGTATCTTGTGATTGAGAGGGTCCAGTGCACTCAGAGGACTAGAGGAAGGCAGCCCCTGCCCATTTCCTCACTTTTAGCAAATAGAGTGGTCTTTCCCTGGGTTCTCGTGGAGGAAAGTTCTGGGCTCTTTCTGACATAGAACTGGGCACTGACAGAACAGTGTCAGGTTCTATCATATACACAGTTTGCAATCTGTTAAGTAGCTTGGGCTGGTGTGTGTGATGTGTGTGCATGCATATGTATGCACATGTAGGCTAGAGGAATGGGCAGGTTATTGACAGATAGACAGACATAGGAATCAGTGAAAGATGGGGTGGACTTATGTGACTGGGATTGCTGGGCCTAGAAGAAGAATGAAGACTAAATGAGGAAAGTAATTAGGCAAGAATGCAAATAAAAGTATCTGGCACATAGTAGTTATATAGGAAATGTTCATTCCCTTTTCTCCTTGAAAACAGGCTTCCACTTCTGTCTTTCATATCTCCATTCTGTGATTTATGAACTCAGAAAGGAAGTAAATACAAGCATTAGTTTGATTTGTCAATATTCCCTTGATACCTGGACATCTTTTTCCTATTTCACTGTAACCTAAATTCATCTCAACGGTGTATAATTTTAAAATCAGGCCAACATGAGGTATAATTTAGAAAAACTAAGACACTGTGCTTTATTTGATAACAGAATAAAAGGGCATGACTGGAGCTCTGCCAGAATGGTCCTTAACGTTCTTCCTAACCAGGATGTTATTAACGTTTCCACATTGTTAGTGTACGGTGGGGTGTTAACTATTTCAAAGGTTGAGACAAACTATAAAGGTGAATCTTTTAAGAAAGAAAATGCGCTAGTTTTCTTTTTGTTCCTTTAAACATTCTAAACAGAAATATCACCCCATCTATAATGAGGACTATACAGAGCAGCACCAAAAAGGCCATTTACAGAGTTTTTCTTCAACAGAATCCAGTTGGATGTGGTAAGAAATTGCATCTTAGCTAAAAGCAGTTCACAAAGAACCTAACTGGTATTTAAACTTGTCAAGGGATAGGGATGTGCAAATTTAGCAGCAAAACACTCCACTGTTTTGCCTCAAGGGAAAGTGATGGTGGTCAGAGGGGCCAGTTCCAAGGGCTGGTCCAGAGGGGGACGCTGGTCTTGGTACTCCGCCACATGCCCATTCCGGTGGTGACCATACTCAAACTTGATCCGCAGCTCTCCAATCTTGGACTGAGGAAGGATATCTGGAATCCATTCAATGATGAAAGGGGTTGGCTCCTTTTGATCTGGGGAAGTGTTGCCTGAAGACAAAAACAAACAAAAACAAACAAAAAAACAACGAATTAGTATAATTTCTAATTTTGAGTCTGGACAGATCTCACGCTGTTCGGGAGTAAAAAAAGATAAAGAAAAGTTAGTTTTTTAAAAAGCTATATAAGCCAAAACCGTTTGGCTCAGTGGTAGAGAGTCGGTCTGCGGACTGAAAGGTCCCAGGTTCGATTCTGGTCTAGGGCATGTACATTGGTTGCAGGCACATCCCCGGTAGGGGGTGTGCAAGAGGCAGCTGGTCGATGTTTCTCATCGACGTTTCTAGCTCTCTATCTCGCTCCCTTCCTCTCTGTAAAAAATAAAATATTAAAAAAGAAATTAAAAAAAAGCTATGTTTTAAAAAAAAAAGCTATATGAGAAAAAAATAACAAGGAAAAACAACAAGAATCAAGGGAAAGTAAGAGGAATTACTATATCTATTCAAAAGAAAATTTCAGGGAACTGTCTAGCATCCTTGAATAAAATAAGACCGAGATATAAGAAAAAGGGCCAAAAGAATCATAAGGCGAGCCCAGACTGAGAGGAAAGGACAGCTGGATGAGATTAAAAGGGAGACTAGAAAAAAAAAAAAAAAGGCCTGACAGGGTGGTTTAATTGGATGGAACATTGTCCCATACACCAAAAGGTGGTAAGTTCATTTCCTGGTCAGGGAGCATACAAAAGGCAACTCTCTCCCTTACTCTCTCTAAAATCAAATGTTTAAAAAGCCCAGCCAGCATAGCTCAGTGGTTGAGAGTCAACCTATGAACCAGGAGGTCATGGTTTGATTCCTGGTTAAGGCACATGATCAGGTTATAGGCTCAATTCCCAGTGTGGGGCCTGCAGGAGGCAGCCAATCAATAATTTTCTCTCATCACTGATGTTTCTCTCTCCCCCACTCCCTTCCTCTCTGAAATAAATATAAAGTCATTATACTTTGAACTCCCCATTTTCTCCAAAAAACTCATTGTTTCTAACAATCTCCTTTAAACAGCCCCATTTCCTCTATGAAAGAAGAGTTCCTCCTTTTGTTCTCTGAACTTGCACATGGTTTTGCAGGTCCTGAACTGCAATACTTTGCTGTTTCTAAATAAACCCATTTTGCCGGAGAAATATATGACTTTGTTCAAGGTTGATACTTTGAAATAAAATAAAAACATATTAAAAAAAAAAAAATAGCCGAAACCGGTTTGGCTCAGTGTAGAGCACCTGTCTGCGGTCTGAAAGGTCCCAGGTTCAATTCTGGTCAAGGGCATGTACATTGGTTGTGGGCACATCCCTGGTAGCGGGTGTGCAGGAGGCAGCTGATGTTTCTCTCTCATTGATGTTTCTAACTCTCTATCCCTCTCCCTTCCTCTCTGTAAAAAATCAATAAAATATATTTTAAAAAAAAACTTTACATGATTCATTTTAAAGCTATGTAAGACTTTAAATAAGTAATATCTCTGCTAGCTCAAATTCATATAATTGATTAGTGATAATTATGGGTTCTTTGTTTATTTTTAAAAGTATATTTTTTATCCATTTCAGAGAGGGAGAGAGCAAGAGAAAGATAGAAACATCAATGATAAGAGAGAATCATTGATTAGCTGCCTCCTGCATGCCTGAAATCTGGGCATGTGTTATGACCGGGAATTGAACTATGATCTCCTGGTTCATAGGTTGATGCTCAACCACTGAGCCACACTAGCCAAGCTCTTTGTCTATTTTTAATAAAATAATTTTTATATTAAATAAAAAAATTTTTATAGCCTTAACCGGATTGGCTCAGTGGATAGAGCATCAGCCTGTGGATTGAAGGGTCTTAGGTTCGATTCTAGTAAAAGGCACATGCCTGGGTTGCAGGCTTGATGTCCACAGCCAATCAATGAGTCTCTCTCACCACTAATGCTTCTCTCTCTCTCTCCCCCTCTTCCTCTCTCTCTGAAATCAATAAAAATATTTTTTATAGCTGAAGCCAGTTTGGCTCAGTGGTAGAGCGTCGGTCTGCGGACTGAAAGGTCCCAGGTTCGATTCCGATCAAGGGCATGTACATTAGTTGCGGGCACATCCCCGGTGGGGGTTGTGCAAGAGGCGGCTGGTCGATGTTTCTCTCTCATCGACATTTCTAGCTCTCTATCCCTCTTTCTTCCTCTCTGTAAAAAATCAATAAAATATATTTTTAAAAAATGTTTTTATAGTACTATGTAAATACTAACATATTTGTATATTCTATAATAATAAAAGCACAATATGCTGATTAGACCGGATGTCCTTCCGGACAAAGCTGGGGCTGTGAGGGAAGCCCAGATCCTGAATGCCAGAGGGAAGCCGGTGCCAGCAGTTGGGGGAGGAAGGCCTACCTACTCTTGCACAAATTTTGTGCATCAGGCCTCTAGTAATTTAATAATAATGACAACTATAACAAGTAGCACTTAATAAGCACCTACTGTGCCAGGTATTATCTTTTTTTTTTTTGCCTTTGATCATATTTTTATTCAAAATTAGCTGTCTAAAGTAAAGTGACTTGACCGTTCTGGAATAAACAATTTAAGTTTATGCCACGGGCTTCTTTTCCTCTGCGGTGGGTTTCTTTTCTGCGGGCTTCTTCTCAGCTGCTGGTTCCTTGGTAGCTGCAGCCTTTCTCCCCACCAAAGGCTTCTGCTTCTTAGGGCCCACAGCCTTCTTTCCTTTCTTCCCACCACAGGCTTCTCATCTGACTTGGCTTCTAGTGCTGCTGCTGCTTTATCAGGCCGAGGCTTGTGGTTCTTGGCCTGACGAAGAATAGTGTTTCGGCGCATGGTGTTTGCATATGGGTTCAGCTTCAACATGATTCTCAGGTTCTTCAGTGGATTCTTCCTCAGGACTCTGCGGTGAATCTTCTCGCGTGGTGCACGCAGGGCCTTTGGATCTCCGGGCTTTTCCAGATTCTGCTCAGGTCTGTACTGAGCATCCTGCACATGGGAAGGCTGTAGTTACTCTTGAGGGAGGCAGCTCTACGCGAAGGGCCATACAGCTCATCTCATTTGCGGAAAGCACCTTCAGTCCAAATGCAGAAGGCCCACATGCCCTCCAGGTGCGAGTTTCAGAATGTTCAGTTTGCTTACGTTAAGCAGAGTAATTCCAGGATGTTTCTGAAGGCTATGATGATACCGTTGTCCTCGTTATAGATGATACAAGGTCCCCTGCGCTGGATACGATGTCGGTTTCTCATTTTGCCCTTGCCAGCCCTCATTCGCTGAGGGGCATAGACCTTTTTTATATCATTCCAGGCCTTAAGTCTCTTAAGAAGCAAAACAGCCTCCTTGGTCTTCTCGTAGCCTTCAACTTTATCTTCAACCACCAAAGGAAGTTCAGGAACTTCCTCAATACGGTGACCTTTAGACATGACCAGTGCTGGTAAGGCTGAGGCGGCGAGGGCAGAGCAGATGGCATATCGTTTCTGTGTTATGTTTACTCTGCGGTGCCAACGGCGCCAGGTTTTGGTTGGTGCAAACATGCGGCCCCCACGACACATATTTCCAAAAGCACCCTGGCCAGAGCGATGAGTTCCACCACCTCGGACTCTGGGAATTCGAGCCACAGCTCTGCCAGTACCCCAGGACTCTGCACTGGTTTGATGACCTGCCAATTCACTGACAGCATAGGGCTGTCTATTGTTTTTGTGCAAGTTGGTGTGAACGAAGTTCACAATATCTGGTCGAATGGGAGCCTTGAACACAGCAGGCAAAGTGACATTTTTGCCAGATGTTTCCCCCTTTTCAGAGTACACGGATATCAGTGGACGAGCACACGCCATGGCGGAGAGAGGAGAGGGCCACGCTCCTCTCTACCCGACGGCTCTCACAGGAAAAAGCTGTGCCAGGTATTATCTTAAGTGATTTAAAATGCATTAATGTAATGCTCAGCAACTCACTAAGAGACAGATTCTATGATTCCCTATTTATAGGTGAATAAACTGAGGTGAGGATAGATGAAGTCTTCCTGCTTAGTTACACAACTAGTAGGTGGACCTGACTTTAACTTTGGGCAATTTTGGACTCCAGAGCCTATACTTCTAGCCATCTAATATTCACCTCTCTATCCAATGATTAGACTATCATCTTTTCCAAGACAGTAAACTATATCACTTTTGTTCATCACTGTACCCCAGTATTGCATGGTGCCTGGTTCATAATAGGCACTCAATAAAGACTTGTTGAATGAAGAATGAATGAATGAATGCCAGCCATAATTTAAATTACCTTAAATTATCATCTATCAAGCAGGCCTCATTCACTTACCTAATTGTGTACTTATTCTTTTAGGAGAAATTTAGACATTATAATTATTTTGTCAAATTCTTGTGACTATATTCCTACACATATAGAGTGTCCCAAAAATGTATACACACTTTAAACAGCTGACAGTTCTGTTTCTTTTCATATTTAACTGATTGGAATTAATAATTATTCCAAGTATGTATACATTTTTGGGGGGATACTGTATTTTTTAAAATATATTTTATTGACTTTTTTACAGAGAAGAAGGGAGAGGGATAAAGGGCCAGAAATATCAATGAGAGAGAATCATCGATCAGCCGCCTCCTGCACAACCCCCACAGGGGATGTGCCCGCAACCAAGGTACATGCCCTTGACCGGAATCGAACCTGGGACCTTTCAATCTGCAGGCCGATGCTCTATCCACTGAGCCAAACCGGTTTTGGCAAGGGGACACTATTTTTAAGGAAAAAGAGGTATGATCCCATGTTTTAGAAACACTTCGTACAGAAAAGAGTCTGGAAAGGTTTTACCAAAATCTTAATGGTGATGCTGTTTTTGGTGGGTGTGATTACAGGTGGTTATTTTTCTTCTTTATAAAATCTATGATTTCTCTATATTAAATACTCATTACTTTTTTTCATTTTTTTATTAAGGCATTATATGTGTACATATCTTACCATTGCTTCCCTTCCCCCCATGAATACTTATTCTATAATTTTATTTCTAAAGCCCTGGCACAAATGAAACAAAATACCCTATCTCACGATTATATTTATAAGATGGGTTAATGTGCCTTCTTTAAGGTCAAGATCCAAAGTCTAGGACAATGTATTGCACATAGTTGACCTTCACAGGAAGATGCACTATTGAAACCACCAATCACTTACCAACTTTGAGAAAAGTTTTTAGTTCCAAGGGTCGCAGCACTGGTTGTTTTTCTATACGACCATAGGTTTCTGCTATGCTCTCTACTTCCACTTTAGGGCATTTAAACAGCTCATACGTCCCATCCCGGTTCTGGATAAAACTTCGGGTAATTTCCAAGGGCATCTGGACATGGAGACAATACCAAGAAAGGTGAGAAAGAAAAACTTTCAAAATAGACAAACACTTGGATGAGAAAAGATTGTTTATGTATTCACTGTTCCTCAATAAGCACAACCAAATTAATTAAAATTTCCCATTGCATTTTCAATTAAATCCTGTCAACAAATCTGCCTTGTTTTCCTTATACCATTCATATCTTGGCTTTCCTTTTTTCTCTATAACTTTAATATGAACCCCAATATCATCTTCATGTCTACAGGACCACTACTGGCATAGACCTGCTCTAAATTTGTTTTTTTTCCCTTCCCCTGCTTATCTGCTAGAACATTCTCCTAAAAACTCTATTGATAGCACCTACAGCTGACCTCACCATCCTGTGTGCTTCACACCATCCTTGGGACTGAGCCAGACAGAACTTGAACTGAATTTTGTCTTTGCCACTAAACAGCAGGGTGAGCATCTCATAGCCTGTTTCTCATCTGCAAAATACATGAATGAGGTGATACAGGTAAATAACGCCCAACAGATAGAAGCTCAATGATCATTAGCTCTTTTCCCTCACTTCACTTTGCTTTGGGTTGCACAGTGCCTCCCTAAATACCACTTATTCCAGGATAGAAGCTGCCTCTGTGATATCTTGCATTTAAGGAAGTTCCTCAAATGTCTTTAGTGCTAACATACTAGGCCTTTGATTCTTCTGAACATAACAGCTACCAAGCAACTTATTCTTCTTCTGAACATAACAATATCTTGAAAATAAGCTTCTCTTAACACATCAAATCACATTATACTGATTTTTCTACAATATTCCATTATTGTAAGAAAGGAAAACCCTCACATTTTCAGGGTCTGCTGGACAGAAATGTTTTAAAATATCTTTCCCTTGAGAAAAAGAATACAAACTGAGGGTCATTTTTCTAATGAGAACTAAATTGCAGTTTAGGGAGGAGCAATTAATTGTGCTAGCCCATTAATTTCACAAATGGTGTGAAGTCCCAAATTATTTACTTATTTTTTTTTAAATATTTTATTGATTTTATACAGAGAGGAAGGGAGAGAGATAGAGTTAGAAACATTGATGAGAGAGTCATAGATCAGCTGCCTCTTGCACACCCCCTACCGGGGATATGCCTGCAACCAAGGTACATGCCCTTCACCGGAATCGAACCCGGGACCCTTCAGTCCCCAAGCCGACGCTCTATCCATTGAGCCAAACCGGTCCCGGCTATTTACATATTTTTTAGTTAATTTAGGGCTAACCATAGATAGATCATTATTTAATACATAGGAAAAATCATTCCTGCTTTCTGATCCCAAAGGCAAAGAAAAAGAATACTCTAATTTAAGATACCTTTTTGGGCTCTAGGGAATACCTATTAAAATTAGAGTCAGCACTATAAAGCCATGAATATTTCTGAATAATCTCTTTTTAAAATCTTTTGTTTATTAAATTTATTGGGGTGACATTGGCCAACATGAACAGGTTTCAGTTGTGGGTGTCTATGTTATATTGAATAATCTAAATATGAAAAACAGAATTCTTTTTGATGTCTGTAACTCAAGGAATTGGTACAAACATACTTCCCGAACTTGCTTCCTTCTCTTCTCCTCTCTGCCCTCCCACTATTATAGAAATAAACTCTTACCTCAGGGGTATCTAAGATTTGTTTAACTTGCAGGATATTAGTGATATGCCAGGTATACTTGGAAAAGGTTCCCAATGGCAGGGCATCTTTTCGAACAAAAGCTTCAATGTAAAAAGAGAACAAAATTAGTCTACCAAAACATAACATTCTCTTTCCCTATTTGTTACCCACTTTCTAGAAAATTCAGTGCAGTATTATTCTTTCCTTACAGAATCTCAGAAAATTCCAGAAGGAAATTTTAGAGGCAAATATATAACAGGGTTTGACATAAATGTGATAAATCAAGTGATAAAAATTTCTACTAGCCGAGACTGGTTTGGCTCAGTGGATAGAGCGTCGACCTGCAGACTGAAGGGTCCCAGGTTCGATTCCAGTCAGGGGCATGTACCTTGGTTGCGGGCACATCCCCAGTGGGGGGGTGCAAGAGGCAGCTGATCAATGATTCTCTCTCATCGATGTTTCTAACTCTCTATCTCTCTTTCTTCCTCTCTGTAAAAAATCAATAAAATATATATATATATATTTTTAAATTTCTACTATATGAAGTCTCTGATGCTTCAAGATGCTACTTATTTCTGTTACCTTAGAAACTTGTTTTTTTTTTGTTTTTTTTTGTAAAACTATATGCAGACTCCATTATAAAAAAATTCTTACACCTCTTACAAATTTAGATATATCATCAGAGTTCAAATTATAGTCCTTAAAATTTTAATTGCATGGAGTTTAGGCCTGCTCACATGATTGCCAATCCACTGCCCTACCTGCAGGATTATAAAGGGGTTCCACTGAATGTCTGCAAAACTAGCTAAGGGGTGAGTTAAAACAAATGTATTAGGCCTAAAGTTTAAAATGGAAGAAAGAATTAACCTTGCTTGAAAGGTCAGGAAGACAAGCTGTGAAGACAAAGATTTTCATAGCTCTAAACACAGTGATTCACAGCTTGCATCATTCAAATACAGAATTAAACTTCAAACAGTCCCTATCGTGTTTCCCCGAAAATAAGACATCCTCCGAAAATAAGACCTACTTACAGGTTTCCTTCTGAATGAAATATAAGGCATCCCCCCGAAAATAAGGCCCCCCCAAGGCTCTGTCTCAGAATGCTATTGCTAAACATGAGAGATTTGGTCCACTGATTCTGAAAGAAATGGAGTCAAGAAATTCACCAGGAAATTCAGGAATTGGATTGTTATGATGATGTTCCAGAAAATGATGACATGATTGTCATTGAATAAATGAGTAAATTCTTGATATTGTAGGATTCACAGTTTGTCTGGTTTGTGTTGACAACTACCATACTATCGTACCGTATACAGGTAATAAATTTCCTTTATTTTCATTTAACAATAAATGTGTACCATATTCTTCTTCATGGAAAAATAAGACATTCCCTGAAAATAAGACCTTGCGCATCTTTGGGAGCAAAAATTAATATAAGACACTGTCTTATTTTTGGGGAAACAGGGTATTATATAATCAAATAACAATTTTTTTTACTAATTTCAGAGAGGGAGAGAGAGATAGGAACATCAATGATGAGAGAAAATAATTGTTTAGCTGCTTCCTGCACAACCCCTACCAGGGATCGAGCCTACAACCCAGGCATGTGCCCTGACCAAGGAATTGAACCATGACCTCCTGATTCATAGGTCGACACTCAACCACTGAAAAACACTGGCAGGCTCATCAAATAAATTTGTTGAAGAAATAGAATTGATTTTTAGCTGTCATTACTGAGTAATTCTTTCTTCCTCCTTTTCTCTCCCTTATTTCCTTTAGCTACCCAATAAGTATGTTGAGATGTTTAATAGAAAGACATTATGTAAAACCAAGAAATAAGTACCAGAATAATGTAATGATAAAGTGTTCCAAGCCTAAGAATAACTCTAAAATCTTCATCAAAAATTAGGAGTCAGGCCGGGACCGGTTTGGCTCAGTGGATAGAGCGTCGGCTTGGGGACTGAAGGGCCCCGGGTTTGATTCCAGTCAAGGGCATGTACCTTGGTTGCGGGCATATCCCCAGTGGGGGTGTGTGCAAGAGGCAGCTGATCGATGACTCTCTCTCATCGATGTTTCTAACTCTCTATCTCTCTCCCTTCCTCTCTGTACAAAAATCAATAAAATATATTTAAAAAAAAAAAATTAGAAGTCACAAAAAAATAAGTTTTAGGGGTGTGTGTGTGTGTGTTTAAATATATTTTTTATTTCAGAGAAGAGAAAGGGAGAGAGAGAGAAACATCAATGATGAGAGAATCATTGATCAGCTGCCTCCTGCACACCCCCTACTGGGGATTGAACCTGCAACCTAAGGATGTGCCCATGACCTGGTTAATAGGTCAACACTCAACCATAGAGCCACACCAGCTGGGCAAGTTTTAGTTTTTGACATATACTGTAATATGCCTCCAAGAAGCCAGCCAAATAATGATTGGAGTCTATAATGCTTTTGTTGAAATAGATTCATATCTAGAAAATATCAAACTTCTTGGGGGGCACATTCATTGCACTTCATTGTTCTTTTACCAAGTCTGTGCTTTCTGAATTGTTCCATTTACTTGCGCTGGAATAAATATGGGGTTGCACTGAAGAATGAGATCATTATTCCAAGAGCTGACTGGCTAAGGCTTCATGCTCTCAACATGCAGCTAGAAGTCCTAATTGTGAAAATTCCACACGATACTTCCAAACATAATTCCCTATTTTTGGAAATATAGGGAAGACATCTGTGGCTATTGCTGAAGAAAAAATCCCATACCTGTAGTGGAGTTGGGAAGCCGTTTTTTTGTACTTCCAATAGATATTCTCTGTTGTAGGGCATCAAAAAAAGACTGAGGAATGTGGAACACTAGTGGCTCTGGTTTGCCTTTAGGAAATAAGAAGAAACTCATTCAGTTAAAACAGACCAAATTTTTATGCCAGAAAATTGAGAGCTCCTAGTTACTTCAACTAAAAGTGTAATGTTGAAAAAAAAAAAAAAAGTGTAATGTTGAAACTGTTCATTAGCACTTTGCAATGGCTATGCTTATGAAAGTATCTGGCAGCTTTGTTCAATGAATTAATGTTATAAGGAATTATCTATGTTGTCATAGTATTAAATCATAATGTCACTTCAAAATTTAGTTCTGTAGGATTTTTTTTATACTATGTTTTTTTATTAATTTTAGAGAGAAAGGAAGGGAGGAGGATATAGAAACCATCGATGAAAGACATCAGTTGGCTGCCTCCTACACACCCCTTATTGGGGACTGGGCCTGCAAACAGGCATGTGCCCTGACCAGGAATCGAACAGGGGACCTCTTGGTTCATGAGTCGACACTCAACCACAGAGCGAAACTGGCCAGGTAGTTCAGTAGGATTTTAAAAAATATATATATTTTATTGATTTTTTACAGAGAGGAAGGGAGAGAGATGGAGAGCTAGAAACATCGATGAGAGAGAGACATCGACTAGCTGCCTCCTGCACACCCCCTCCCGGGGATGTGCCCGCAACCAATGTACATGCCCTTGACCGGAATCAAACCTGGGACCTTTCAGTCCACAGACCGATGCTCTATCTACTGAGCCAAACCGGTTTCGGCAAGTTCTGTAGGATTTTTTTAAAAAAATGTATATTCTGGGTAGCTTTAATTGGTAAAAAAAATTAGACTGTGATTTAAATACTGCATAGTGTTACGATTTTTTTTATATGCACAGGCTTTATGAACCAATAAAACTATTTCAAAGTTTAAAAAAAGAAGACCACAAAGGAGACTATCCAATAAACACCAGTTTTTTCTCTCTGAATATGATCTCAAGGCAGATAAAATGTTTGAAAATACTTAACAAACCTTTAAAGAAGCTTACAAGACACTAGGTCAATAAAAGTCAACAGAATGTTCAGGGAAGGAGTTGAAAGAGTTCTGAGTTTTTCTTAAAAAACTGTGTTCAAGGGGCTACCTAACCCTAGCAGAGAGAAAACATCCAGAATCATGTGGATAAACAAACAAAGAATATCTCTTACAGAAAGACTCTTAAGGACATTTTAGATGCCTTTTTGGAACAAAGATCAAGCTAACACCACCAAATATCATACCCCCAAGATCAAAGATATCTACCTTTACTTATTATTTGCTCTATTTTTCCTCTTCCATTTCTAAATTAATTTTGCTGATACTGCATTTAAATTATGTGAGTATTTTCTTCTTTCACGTAGATTTCTGCTTTTTGTGGCCCAATGTAACTGAGGTTTTGAAAAAGTCAAGCCCAGTTGTTATTATTTTTTAAATATATTTTATTGATTTTTACAGAGAGGAAGGGAGAGGGAGAGCTAGAAACATCAATGAGAGAGAAACAACAATCAGCTGCCTCCTGCATACCCCCACTGGGGATGTGCCCTCAACCAACGTATATGCCCTTGACCGGAATCGAACCCGGGACCCTTCAGTCCACAGGCTGATGCTTTATCCACTGAGCCAAACCAGTCAGGGCCCAGTTATTTTTTCTATCAAAACAGAGAACTCGCCCTAGCATGTTTGGCTCAGTGGATAGAGCATCGGCCTGCATACTGAAGGGTCCCAGATTTGATTCCAGTCAAGGGCACATGCCCAACAAAGACAACACAGAGAGAACTCTAGTCCAGCCAGTGTTGCTCAGTAGTTGAGTGATGGCCCTTGAACCATGAGGTCAAGATTTGATTCCCGGTTGCAGCCTTGATCCCCAGTAGGGAGAGTGCAGGAAGCACCCGAGCAATAATTCTCTCTCATCATTGATGTTTCCATCTACAATATATCTTCTCCCTTCCTCTCTCTAAAATCAATAAAAAAAATATTTAAAAAACAAAACAAACAAGAAAACAACAATAGAGAACTCTAGCACAATTACTTTAACTTATCCTACTTTCAGCAACAGCCCAGTTGGGTGACCAATACTTACCATCAAATTGATAGTGCATGGTTTGATGGATGCGTTCTGTGACACTGGCCAGCCAGTCTTGGAAGGATAAGGTCACCTGTGCCTCATCTAACAGCTGACTGCAGGCTAGTAAAAACAAAACAACGTTTTAGTAACTGTTATTTTTTTCTTACAAAAGAAAGTTAATTGAAGTTTGAAGACTTTAAGGCATTTGCACAGATAAAAAAAGAACAAGAAGCTGAAATTCAAAGAAATTAAGTAAAATAGAAGATTCCAGAATTTGTTTTTCCAAAGAATCCATTTAGAAAAAAAGAAATGAAAATCTCTGAGATACTAATAGGTCCAAGATTAGTAACCACAGAAAGTTTGCAGCCTTTTAACAATAAACTGCAAAGTGAAGAATGGCCTTATATAATGGCTCTTAGAGATCTATAAATTAGTCCTATTTCTGGTTAATATGTTTGTATATAAGGAAATATTCTATTCTATTCCTTCTCCTGAAATGTTTTCACATTTCTAATGCCATAACTACTATCCATTTGAAATTAAAATTCTCATTGGTAAATGTATATAGTGATAATTTAGATTAAAAGCTATTTTCTTTCTTCTTTGTGCCAAAGAAAGTGATGAGAATTTGTAGAAAACCTACCTGATACAGTTAATCTGTTTATTTACTGACCTTCCAAAGACATTTATTTCTGGAATGTGTAAGTTCTTAATTAGATTTGGTCTTGTATTATATTTATGTATTCATCTTCAAAATCAGAATATGAGGGCAGAGATGATATCTAGTTTTTAATCACCCAATCATATTACGTGTCCAATAATATCTTAGCAAGTATTCAATCAATACTACCAAAATTGAACTAAACTATTTTTACAGAATGTATAAGTAGAGGTTTATAAAAGGTTGATTCCCCAAATAGCTAAGCTTATTCTCAGTAGAAAAGATATATATATATATGTATATGTATATGTATATGTATATGTATATATAAATATATGTTATGTTCAAATTTAGTTATTCTGTCTTCATAAATTCAGAACTTCACTAACTGTGGAGAACCGATTATATTATTTGTCTTTCTCAACAAATGTTTATCACTGAATAATTATAAACATGTTTCTTCTTCAACTTTGGCTGTCCAGCTGGTTTGGCTCAGTGGGTAGAGCGTCAGCCTGCTGACTGAATGGTCCCAGGTTCAATTCCGGTCAGGGGCAAATGCCTAGGTTGAGGGCCCAATCCCCAGCAGGAGGAGGAGCATGCAGGAGGCAGCCAATCAATGATTCTCTCTTCTCATTGATGTTCTCTCTCTCCCTCTTCCTTCCTCTCTGAAATAAATAAAAACATACTTTAAAAAACAATAATTTTAAATCTCCATACTAAGTGCATATGGCTAATAAACAAGAGGAAAAATCCTTACAAAATATCTCTACCAAACCATGTCAGTAATTTTTGTTGGATTTGTTACTTAAACAATACGATTTGTTGTTGTTTTTAATTTATTTTTATTGATTTCAGAGAGGGAGACAGAAACATCAATGAAGAGAGAGGATCATTGACAGGCTGCCTCCTGCACGCCCCCTATTGGGGATCAAGTCCCCAGCCTGGGCAAGTGCTCTGAACAACAATCAATCTGCGTCCTGGTGAATGCTTAACCACCAAGCACTGGCTGGGTTACAATTTAGTTTTGAGCATTTGAGCATGATTTGAGACCCGTGGGACAAGACAGACTCCGTCCTCAGTGCCTACTAGAGTTTATCTTAACATTCCTTTGAGGACACCATGCAATGTTTCTTTGGATTTACTGTTTTTACCTTCTTTCGGATGATTTCCAACCTTTTTAGCTTATCCTGGGGCAGGGAAACTTACCCTGCCTTTTTAATGAAGAAGCAACCACAGGCTTTTTCAGGCCACTTTTCCTTAGATTACTGCTCAGTGCATCCTGAGGCAACAGTGAACTGTTCGTCTGTGCACCTAAACCATAAATCATTACAGTGTTTAATAACATGCCTGTACAATATAAATAGATTCTATATTCATTTCTAAAGAGTCTAAAACATGAAAAATCTTTGATAATTTCTAAGTTAGCTTTGATAAATCCTAATTTATAACTTAGAATTAGCCTTTATATATAACATTTTAAGTTTCTGAAAATCTAGGAAAGTGGGAGAAACCAGAAGTGAAAGAGAAAAAAAAAATTTCACCCATTGTTTCCACCTCTCAGACAAACACTATTAATTTTCTGGTGAACTATCTCCCTTTTTTCCCTATGAATAGATTATTTTGCTGGTTTTTGTGATTTTTAAGTAACTGATTTTTACCAGGATTGCTAGATTAAGCAAAAAAAAAAAATTTTTTTTTCTCAAATAAATGAATCTTTAATGTATGTTTCAAATATAGAATGGGAAATAATTATATTTAAAAATATTCATTGTTTATCACAAAGTCAATTCTGTACTTTGTCTGGCTACCTGAGTGACCTAAAAATTTCTCCAAATTCTATGTAATCATTTTCAGTGGTTGCCTGATATTCTAGCAAGTTGTTTTATCATGGTTCATTTAACTATCCACAGTGGTTGGGCTTAATTGTTTCTAATTTTTTAATATTATAAAGTAGAGGCCTGCTTTGGTGGAGTCTCTCGGCCTGGCCAGCAATTGGGCCAATCGGGGCCATCTCACCCAGTCTTGCCCAGGCAGGCTAGGGGGAGGGACAGCAGCAGTTTGGCCATCAGCAGGAGGTTGGCTATGGGTGCACACTAACAACCAGAGGGCATATGCCCCCTGGTGGTCATTGTGCATCATAGCAGCTGACCAGTCATCAAGTCTTAACAGTTGCTTAGGCTTTTATATAGACTATAGGCCTGGTGCACAAAATTCATGCACAAGGGTGGGTGTCTCTCAGCCCACCCTGCACCTTCTCCAATTTGAGATCCCTCTCCCAATCCAGGACTGCTGGCTCCAACTGCTCGCCTGCCTGCCTGCCTGCCTGATTGCCCCTAACCACTCTCCTGCCAACCTGGTCACCCCTAACGGCCCTCCCCTGCTGGCCTGGTCCCTCCCAACTGCCCTCGCTTGCTGGCCTGATCGCCCACAACTGCCCTTCCCTGCTGGCCTTCTTGTGGCAGCCATCTTGTGTCCACATGGAGGTGACCATCTTGTGTGTTGGAATGATGGTCAATTTGCACATTACCTCTTTATTATATAGGATAATGATAAAATGAGCATTTCTGGATAAAATGCTTTTCCTGTACCGAGCATTATTTCCTTAAAAATGATTATTTAAGCCAGGACCGGTTTGGCTCAGTGGATAGAGCGTCGGCCTGCGGACTGAAAGGTCCCGGGTTCGATTCCGGTCAAGGGCATGTACCTTGGTTGCGGGCACATCCCCAGTGGGGGGTGTGCAAGAGGCAGCTGGTCGATGTTTCTCTCTCATCGACGTTTCTGATTCTCTGTCCCTCTCAATTCCTCTCTATGTAAAATCAATAAAATATATTAAAAAAAAAAATGATTATTTAAAAGTGGATTACTGCATCAAAGGAAAAGAACTTTACTATTTGAATTTCAAGATTTCCTAGGAAAGACCGATAAATAAACATTTAACAACAATCTCTGCAACACACTGCTGCTAGAATTAACTCTTACAACATGAAAGTGATAGTGTCACTTTATCTCCCTTTCTCCAACTTCCCAGCACTAAAACTCCTGTGCATAATCACCTGATCCACCTTTAACAATTATCCCTATGAATAGTAGTATTTTTCAGGTTCTTAACAGATAATTATGGCAATTTACATTGCACTAACCATGCCAGAAAGCCTGAACTTCACCTCCTTTACCTGTGGTCTCATAATTTTAAAAATACTTGCTAATTTGGTAGCAAAAAGTATCTTATTTTAATTTTTGTATTTCTAAAATTTTTGCATTTCACCAGTAGTGTATGAGGGTTCCTTTTTGGGGGCGACCAGGCCTGCAGAGGAGGACTCTCTTCACCATTGAGTTTGGAGTTTTGTCTACATTTGCAAACCAGGCAAAAAATTTTCTTTATTTAAAGTCTATGTCTTGCCCTAGCCGGTTTGGTTCAGTGGATAGAGCGTCGGCCTGCAGACTCAAGGGTCCCAGGTTCAATTCCAGTCAAGGGCATGTACCTTGGTTGTGGACACTCTCCAGTGGGAGGTGTGCAGGAGGCAGCTGATTGATGTTTCTAACTCTCTATCCCTCTCCCTTCCTCTCTGTAAAAAATCAATAAAATATATATTTTTAAAAAATAAATAAAGTCTATGTCTTTTGACACTTATCTATTAGAATACTTCAACAATTTCATATTGATTTGTAAAGGTCCTTAACTGACAGTGGTATTATTACTTGTTATTTTCAAGTAACAAACTATATTCCTATATTAATGTAGAAAAGATAATGACTTATTGTCACAAGTTTTTAAAAACATTCTATGGATGAAAACCTTCTAACACTGTCCAAAGGCAGGTTAGGGTTTAAGGCTAGTCTGAATGTTTAAGGGATGAACAAACATATTCAATAATAAGAGCTGAGTTTGGTTTGATCTTATATTTAATCAGTAAAACCAATTCTTAGCTTGACTGGAGAAAGAAATATCACTGGAAGATATAATTTTTTTCAAAAAAAGAAACACATAAAAACTGATTCTTATCATTGCTGAAATCCAGTGAAACACATAAAACAGTCTCTAAAGATAAAACCATAAAAAAAACAACAAAAAAAAAAACAATGCCACACACACACAAAAAATCATAAACAAACCAAATAGCTTCTTACCAGATACTTCATCCTTTTTCCTCTTCTTCACCTTAGATGGAGTAGACTCACAAGCTGATACTGTTGATTCTGAATGGCAATCCAACTGGGGCACAATAATCTCTTTAAGACCTAAAATATAACATATTTCTGAATTATTAATACTACCCAGGAGGAAGTATGGGTCTCTATTTAAAGAAAAATGAACTTATAAAAATCCAAATCCGCCGAAACCGGTTTGGCTCAGTGGATAGAGCGTTGGCTTGGGGACTGAAGGGTCCCGGGTTCGATTTTGGTCAAGGGCATGTATCTTGGTTGCGGGCACATCCCCAGTAGGGAGTATGCAAGAGACAGCTGATCGATGACTTTCTCTCATTGATGTTTCTAACTCTCTATCACCCTCTCTTCCTCTCTGTGAAAAATCAATAAAATATATTTAAAAAAAAAAATCCAAATCCCCAAACAATGGAGTGATTTGTCTACATTAAAAAAGTTCATTTGAAGTGCAAATCAAAATGACAATAACATATCACCTCACACCTATTGGAATGGTTATTTTCAATAAGATAAGAAATAACAAGTATTGGAGAGCATGTGGAAAAAAAGGAACCCTCATACACTAGTGGTGAGAATGAAAACTGACAAGGCCACAGTGGAAAACAGTATAGAGGTTCCTCAAGAAATTAATAGAGCTACCATCTGACCCAGCAAACCTTCTAGGTACCTACCCAAATAATTTGAAAAGTTATTCATAAAGATATATGTACCCCCTATGTTTATGGCAGCATTATTCATGGTAGCCAAGACATGGAAACAACAAAAGTATCCTTCAGACTTGTATACATGGATATAAGTACAACCAATGGACATAAAACTCTGGGGAGGGAGGGTATGTATGGGAGGAAGGGATGGGGGCAAAAAAAAAATCAAAAAATCAAAAAAATATATTTAAAGAAATAATAAATAAATAAATAAATAAATAAATAAATAAATAAATTAAATTAAATTAAAAAAGTGTCCTTCAATGGATGATTGGATAAAGATGATATGGTACATATTTACAATGGAATACTACTCAGCCATAAGAAAGATTAAAATACTGACATTTGTGCTGAAACCAGTTTGGCTCAGTGGATAGAGCGTTGGCCTGCGGATTGGAAGGTCCGGGGTTCGATTCCGGTCAAGGGCATGTACATTGGTTTCGGGCACATCCCCAGTGGGGGGTGTGCAGGAGGCAGCTGGTAGATGTTTCTCTCTCATCGACGTTTCTAGCTCTCTATCCTTCTCCCTTCCTCTCTGTAAAAAATCAATAAAATAAAATAAAATAAAATAAAATAAAATAAAATAAAATCTCTTTAAAAAATATGTTAACAACAAAAACTTGATTTAGAAACTTAAAAGGTGTTTTTTTTAAAATATATTTTATTGATTCTCTACAGAGAGGAAGGGAGAGGGATAGAGAATCAGAAACATTGGTGAGAGAGAAACATCAATCAGCTGCCTCCTGCACACCCCCCACTGGGGACGTGCCCGCAACCAAGGTACATGCCCTTGACCAGAATCGAACCTGGGACCTTTCAGTCCGCAGGCCAACGCTCTATCCACTGAGCCAAACCGGTTTCAGCAAAGGTTTTCTTTTAATCTGAGTACTTGTTTTCCCTATCTTCATAGACAATAAAAAAGTAAACAAGCCAAAATAAAAGGGAATATTTTTGTTCTTTGTTTTTGTTAAATAGGGTATCTGTGGAAAAGTAAAAAAATCAAAGCAAAGTTAACTTTACTAGATTTATTGTCTCAATGAAAATGTTCAAGTCTCTTGATCATTAATTTCAACCAACCAAACAACCTTTATGCAAATGATGACTGGGATTAAAAGAAGGAATGCTGCGGAAGCCGGTTTGGCTCAGTGGATAGAGCATCGGCCTGCAGACTGGAGGGTCCTGGGTTCAATTCCGGTCAAGGGCATGTATTTTGGTTGCAAGAGGCAGGTGATTGATGATTTTCTCTCATCGATGTTTCTAACTCTCTATCCCTCTCTCTTCCTCTCTGTAAAAAATATATTAAAAAATATATTAAAAAATAAATAAATAAATAAACAATAAATAAATAAATAAATAAACAATAAATAAATAAATAAAATAATGCTTTTTATCTGAATTATCTAGCAACTGCTTATGAAGGTCGCTAGGACAATCTCCAAATGCCATCAGTGGAACACTTTCATTGTCATTTTAGTAAAACAGAGTGTGTCACCATACCACCTACCGCTGGAATCAAAATTTAGGAAGTCTGAGAATTCCTGAGCCAATGTCTCATCACTGGCAAAGGCACAGATGCAAGCAAAGAAATGAATGCATCTCTGTGCTGCCTCATCCTTGGAGGCATTCGACTTGTGCGACTTCAGAGTCTGGCAGGAACAGAAGAAACGGCGTTCAGGCAAGCTTTTGGCATTGATTTTCTGCACAAAGGATGTATGCAAGTACCCCAAACTGTGCTTCTGGCTCGCCTTGCATTTCACCACCAAAATGTTTTTAGTAATTCTCTGGACGAGCGGACCTGTGGGTTCTGTGGCCAACTGCCAGATGGTTTGCTTGGTTTCTGAGGAGGCCTGTATTGCATTCAGGACAGAGCTCTTCAGAGTCAGAGGGGTGGCCTCTGCCTGACAGTTTATTGCCAACTTGATGTGCTGGCACTGGTTTTCCACAACACCCTGGGTGGCAGCTTTCAGGCAGGAGGGTACATAACATCGTCCGGAGCTCAGCTGAGTGATGATCGTCCCATCCACTGTTTGGATTGTCGTCTCTGAAACACCTAGCTCTACAAAGCATCTGTAGTCAGGGCCCCGGTCTCTTTGCCGCACTGAGTAGACCTGCAGATCAGAGCCTGTTATGATTTTGACAGCTTCCACACTAGGCTGCTTCCGTGCACCATAGCGGAATATAGTTCCACACGTCTTGTTTTTACAGCTCAGTCCCCGGGTTCCATTGTATGTGCCGCATCGGGGACACTTTCTTATTCCCCTCAATGTGGCCTTCCCCAAATCAGATAAGAAAGCTGGGACTTTAGTCCTCAGAGAGTTTGGTTCCATTTTTCATAGGCCCCTAGAAAAAGCAGTAAGTCCATCAGCATACATACACATGGAGTTAAAATCACTTACGATAGAAAGTGAAACATAAAGAAGCTATCCAGGTGCTCTCCTTACCTAGAATACACCAGTGCCTTTTTCTTTTTCTTTCCCTCTCCCTTTACCCCACTTCCTCCCTGCCCCAGACAGGTCACCATTAGCTTCCTTACTCCCAACCTCCAAGGGCCCATCCTTTACCACTATAACTTGTTCCCTAAGCTCATTTCTTCTAGAAATTACTTCTACTCTGTGTTTTACCAAGTAAATGCTTTCTTACCAAAAAAAAAAAAAAAAAAAAAAAAAAGAAGCTATCCACTATCTTCAAATTGTACCCTCAAACACAACATCAATTTAAACCCTCAAACAGTTTGGCTCAGTGGATAGAGCATCCGCCTGGGAACTGAAAGTTCCTGGTTTCATTTCCAGTCAAGGGCACATGTCTGGGTTGCAGGTTCGATCCCCAGTAGGGGGCGTGCAGGAGGCAGCTGATCAATGATCCTTTCTCATCATTGATGTTTCTCTCTCTTTCCACCCTATCTCTGAAATATATAAAAATACACTTAAAATAAATAAACCCTCAAACAAAATAAAAGTGAAGATTAAAAACCAAATGTAACAATTAAAGCATTTCTTTAGGTTCAATCCTGTTTCATAAAACAACCTAGATTAGTTAATCTAATCTGTACATGCACAGATATTTAACTTAAGCAAGGACTAGAGAATGGGAAAGGTTAACTCTTTCCCTTCCCCACAACACCCAGCCCAATCTTACCTGTTTCAGTTGCCAAAGCATCCGGAAAATGGTGTGACCCAAACTTATAAGACCTAAAAAGGTGTTTCATCAGTTTGTGATAGTCATAGAGGACAAGCGAAGACATAATCATTTACAGAGTAAATGTTACTGCTTAACCCCAAGACTTCTGAAGTTCGAACTCCATAGTATAATGCAGACATTCGGCATCCTCCTGCCCAGTGTTTCACAGAGAAAATTCCCTCTGCCTTACGTGGAGACCTTGGCAGTCTATAAATAAAACAAGAAAAAATATTAAAGTTTGCAAAGACAGAATGATTCTTTCCTTCAGAATAGGAATCTAATTTGACAAAAATTGTTATGGAAATGATTGCTTTGTACTTCCAAATGCAAAAAAAATAGTGTGAATGGTATTACACAGGGAGTTGTCAAGAACACAGAGAGCCATGGTGTATAATTGGTCAAACACTCATCCTTCCCAATAGTAATGCCTTATATTTTTATTTTAGAGTACTTTATGCTTTTCCAAGTGCTGTTACATTCATGATTTCATTTGAACAGCACAATATTAGTATCTTATTTAAGCAAAACATCAACCATTATTCAGATGAACTTTTTAAAAAATATATATTTTATTGATTTTTTACTGAGAGAAAGGGTGAGGGACAGAGAGTTAGAAACATCGATCAGATGCCTCTTGCACACCCCCTACTGGGGATGTGCCCACAACCCAGGTACATGTCTTTGACCAGAATCGAACGTGGGACCTTTTAGTCTGCAGGCCGACACTTTATCCACTGAGCCAAACTGGTTAGGGCCAGACAAACTTTTAAAATTTAAATAACTTGTTGCCCAGATAGTGTGGCTCTGTGGTTGAGTCTTCCCATGAACTAAGGAGTCTCTGGTTTGATTCCCAGTCAGGGCTCAATCCTCAGTAGGGGGTGTGCAGGAGGCAGCTGATGGATGATTCTCTTTCATTCATGTTTCTGTCTCTCTCCTTCTTTCCTTTCCTCTCTCTGAAATTAAAAAAAAAAAATGTTTAATAAAAAAATAAAAGTTAAGTAACTTGTCTGAGATTCCCCAGCAAAATTAACTATGTGGTTTACAATAATCCTATGTCTATTAAGAGTATATGTTTTTTATTGTCCCCATTATTAAAAACTTCAAACATATAAAAATATAGAATTATATAGTGAACCTCCATATACTTACCCACTAGATTATGCAATGAACATTTTACTGTGTTTGCCTTATTACATATCTACTTATCCATCCCCTTCGTCATCCATCAATTACTTTTTTACTTTGACTCATTTCAAAGTAAGTTTCAGCCATCAGTTTAGTATGCATATTATTAAGTTCAATATTTTAAATGCTTTTTTTAAAAAGGTAATTTGCACCCCAGCTGGTTTGGCTCATTGGATAGAGTGTCGGTCTGCAGACCAAAGAGTTCTGGGTTTGAGTCAGGTCAAGGGCACATACCTTTGTTACAGGCTCCTCCTGGCCAGGGCCCTTATCAGGATGCAACCAATCAATGTGTCTCTCTCACATCGATATTTCTGTCTCTCCCTTTCTTCCACTCTCTCTAAAAATCAATGGAAAAATATCCTCGGGTGGAGGAAAAAAAACAACAAAAAACCACAGGTAATTTGCTTGTGATTTTGAAATAGACTGTTAGTATTAATTTCCCTCCATCTTCTTCTACATCTTATTCCACTGATTAACAAATTGAAAAGTACAAATAAGAAAAGTCTAAGAATGCCCATCTTTTCACTGATACTATAGTCTCCCAACTGTAATATTTGCTTACTGAGTGAATAAAGCTTTCTGAAATATGGTCTATAGCAAGATTTCTTCACCTTGGCACTACTGACATTTAGGTCTGGGTAATTCTTAGTTGTTAGAGGAGTATCCCATGCATCGCAGGATGTTTAGTAGTACCCACTAGATGTTGTAGCAGTCAAACCTCCTCCACAAGCTGTAAAAAAACAAGAACTGCTAAATGGCCTCTGGTGAGCTAAAATCACTCATAAAAAACTACTGATTGCGCCGAGACCGGTTTGGCTCAATGGATAGAGCGTCGGGGACTGAAGGGTCCTGGGTTCGATTCCAGTCAAGGGCATGTACCTTGGTTGCGGGCATATCTCCAGTAGGGGGTGTGCAAGAGGCAGCTGATCGATGACTCTCTCTCATCGATGTTTCTAACTCTCTATCTCTCTCCCTTCTTCTCTGTACAAAATCATTAAAATATATTAAAAAACAAAAACAAAACAACAACAACAACAAAAAAAACTACTGATTGCCAAAACCGATTTGGCTCAGTGGATAGAAAGTTTGGTCTACGGACTGAAAGGTTTCTCTCTCAGCGATGTTTCTAGCTCTCTATCCCTCTCCCTTCCTCTCTGTAAAAAAATCAATAAAATATGTATTTTTTAAAAAACCAAACTACTGATCTAGAGACATCAACATGTTTACCCAGAACTGCCTTCCCAGGTAAATAAATTTCTTTTGTAAGTATTCTCATTCAGCCAAACATGGGTTCAAAGTCAAAAGATGGAGGATTTAGTTGGCCCTTTACCACCAATTCTCTCTGTGACTAAGGCTTTTAACTTTTGAGCTTCAGGGTTTTTCATTTGCAAAACAGAAAAAGAGTTAATTCTCTATGAAAGAACTTGGCTAAAAACTCACTGATAATGAGTTAAGTGAAAAAACACAACTAAGTTCATCAAGGCAGAAACTGGCTTGCCATACAGGTGAAGCCTTAAGATGCTAAGGTTTTTTTAGCATCTTCATGGTAATTCCATTCTTTTATTTTTCTCTTTTACTTTTCTTTTTAATATATATTATTGATTTTTTACAGAGAGGAACAGAGAGGGGATAGAGAGCTAGAACACTCCCCGAAAAGATCCCTCTTGCTGTTTGCAGTAATGATTCCCACCCCCAAGAAATCACTAATCTGCTTTCTGTCTCTATAGATTTACCTTTTCTGAACACTTCATTTAGATGGAATCATATAATACGTAGCTTTTAAAAGTCTGGTTTCACCGAAACCGGTTTGGCTCAGTGGATAGAACATCGGTCTGTGGACTGAAGGGTCCCAGATTCGATTCCGGTCAAGGGCGTGTACATTGGTTGGGGGCACATCCCCAGTAGGGGGTGTGCAGGAGGCAGCTGGTCGGTGTTTCTCTCTCATCGATGTTTCTATTGTAGCTCTCTATCCCTCTCCCTTCCTCTCTGTAAAAGACCAATAAAATAATAAAAAATAAATAAAAGTCTGGCTTCTTTCACTCAATGTTTTCAAGATTCCACCACATTATGGCATGTATCATATTTCATTCCTTTTATTGCTGAATAGTTGTCCATGGTATAGATATCATTTTATCTACTCACCAGCTGACAGATACTTGGTTTCCAGTTTTTTACTCCTATGAACACTGCTTCTGAGAAAATAAACATGCAAGTCTTTGTGAAGACAAATGGCTTCATTTCTCTTGGGTAAATACCTAGAAGTGGAATTGCTGAATCAGATAAGTTTTTGTTTAACTTTTTAAGAAACTGCCAAACTGGCTGTATCATTTTACATTCACACAAGTAACAAATGAAAGTTCCTGTTTCTCCACTTCCTGGCCAATCAATACATGTTACTATCTTCTCATAGCCGTTTGATTATAGTGTGTTGAAGTGGCATCTCACTAATGTTTCACATGCTCATTTAACCATGTGTCTATCTCATTGGGGGGAAATCTATTAAAATATTTTATCTAAGCCTAGCTGATTTGGCTCAGTGGATAGAGCGTCAGCCTGTGGACTGAAGGGTCCAAGGTTAGATTTCAGTCAAGGGCACATGCCTGGGTTGCGGGCTCGGTCACCAGTGTGGGGCATGCAGGAGGCAGCTGATCAGTGATTCTCTCTCATCACTGATGTTTCTATCTCTCCCTCTCCCTTCCTCTTTCAATAAAAACATATTAAAAATATTTTTAAAGAAAGCCTCAAATATTTTATCCATTTTAAAAACTAAAACTGATATTTGATTACATAAAAATGAAATTTTCTGCACATCAAAAATTACTACAAGCAAAGTCCAAAGATGAAAACAAACTGAGCAACAAAAGCAGACTTGTACACTAAAAACTTCAAAACATTGTTGAAGGAAATTAAAGACCTAAAAAAAAGGAAAGACATCCCATGTTCATGAACCAGAAGAATTAATATTGTTAAGATGACACTACTCCCCGAATTGATCTACAAATACCATGTAATACCTATCAAAATTACAGATACTCCCTCCTCCCCCAGAAATTAACAAGATGATCCTAAAATTCATTAAAAAAAATACAAGGGATCTGGAAGAGCCAGAATAATCTTAAGAAGAATAAAGTAGAAGGACTCACACTTCCTGATTTTAAAACTTATTACAAATCAAATTAAGACAATGTGGACAGAGAAGGACAAATACTATATATCACTTCTATATAAAATCTAAAAAAGCCAAACTCATAGAGAATGGAATGGTGGTTTCCAGGCTGGGGAGTGGGAAAAATTGGGAAATATCAGTCAAAGGGTAAAAACTTCCAGTTCTGATCAAGTTCTGGGTATCTACTATACAGCATGGTGATTACAGTGTTTTTTAAAAATATGTTTTATTGATTTTTTTACAGAGAGGAGAGAGGGATAGAGACTTAGAAACATCGATGAGAAAGAAACATCAATCAGCTGCCTCCTGCACACCTACTGGGGATGTGCCTGCAACCAAGGTACATGCCCTTGACCAGAATCGAACCTGTGACCTTCCAGTCCGCAGGCTGACGCTTTATCCACTGGCCAAACCAGTTTTGGCGGTGATTACAGTTAATAAGACTGTATTGTATACTTGAAAGTTGCCAAGATCTTAAATGTCTTCATCACAAAAAAGAAATGGCAATTATGTGATGTGATGGAGGTGTTAGCTAAGGCTATGATGACAACCAGTTTGCTTGTGCTATGCCCTGTCCCCTCCTCTTCCCCCACAGGTGTGCATCTCCTAAACTCTAAGGGACCCCACAAAATTTGCAACCAAGGGAGCAATGGGCAGCAGCAGCTCAGCTTGCCGGAGGTAACCCCTTTTCTCTGACTTCCCAGTAGGCTAAGGCAGCCCAAGCCAGGCTCTCCTGTTACTTCTTTTATGCTAAGCCTTTCCTTGTTTCACTGTCCCCAGGATTTGGATTGTGAAATCTTTCCTACGCAAAGTTAAGAATACACACTACTGGCTGGCCTTGGCAAACACACTCAGGGCCAGGGGAGAGTTACATTTCACTGTTTTCTAATATTTGAATTTTAAACATGTACTGGTATCACTTATTAGATTCTATATTGAAAGCATATTCAAACAAGTTAACACAACTAGTAAGGAACCTGTATTTGAATCCTGCCTATGAAAGGGTGTCTCAGTAAGATGGGGTAAAGGGAGTAGTGCTGGAAGAACAAACCTAAAAATGCTCCCTAGAAGGAGGGTTGCCATTCAATTACTATTTGGCTGTAGAGCTATACATCTTGGTGGATGCTATTTAATGTTTCCTATTTAAATTTTTACAGATATGTAAATTTTCTACACTAAGTGAAGACAACAAATGATCACCATGAATTAAACATAAAACTTACTGCCGAAACCGGTTTGGCTCAGCGGTAGAAAGGTCCCAGGTTCGATTCCGGTCAGGGGCATGTACGTTGGTTGTGGGCACATCCCCGGTAGGGGGTGTGCAGGAGGCAGCTGGTCAATGTTTCTCTCTCATCGATGTTTCTAGCTCTCTATCTCTCTCCCCTCCTCTCTGTAAAAAATCAATAAAATATATATTTAAAAAATAAATAAAATAAACATAAAACTTACTAATGCTTACTAAGTACAAGTTAGCCCTTCCCATGCATTTATTTTCCTCATGTATTTCTCACCATTGTGGATGAAAAAGGAGCCACACTCTAAAGCAGACAAGCTCAGGGGAGGCCAAAGGCCTTACAAACTCAGACACCTAATGAAACCACATAAGATGGTCTGAAATTTAAAATTCCTAACTAATAGTGAGTCATGGCTATAGTCATGTCCTAGGCCAGTATCTTCCTTTTAAAAATATATTTTTTATTGATTATCTTGTTAATTTTGATAGGGATTATATGGTTATCTATAGATCAATTCGGGAGTAGTGTCATCTTAACAATAATAGAGAAGAGAGAGGGAGGGAGGAACATCAATGATGAGAATCACTGATTGGCTGCCTCCTGCATGCCTCCTACTGGGGATAAAACCCACAACCTAGGCATGTACCCTTGTCCGGGATCAAACCCGGGATCAGTCTGCAGGCCAATGCTCTATCCATTGAACCAAACCAGCGAGGGCCAATATCTTCCTTGACAAAAGGTCTTTATCTTAATTGAGCCTACTGTTATTTTGTTGTTGTTGTTGTTTGTTTTGGGGGGACAGGGAGAGGATTTGTTTTTTGCATCTACCAATAACATACTTTTGAAATGTCAGGATAATTTCCTTTTCACAAACCCCTCAGGGCATAATTCTCCCACCAGACAGGAAACCACAGAACCTCTCATTGTTACCATTATCATGTTAACCTGTTAACCGAGCGGGACGTATAAATACGTCAAACGTAAACAATATCGGGTACGGGTAGGACGTATGAATACCTCCTTGAAATATATGTTGCACCCTGAAACGGGCAGGATGTATATTTTTGAACAACAAAGGTATTAGTCATCCATACATGTCTCAACATGAATTTAAGACATGGAGGGAATAATTTCGCTATTGAGAGTGGTAGATGTGTTCTGGGTGAGCAGTGACGGGTACGTATTTACACTTACCTACCATATTTTCTGGCGTATAAAACGACCCCCTAATTTTACAGTTAAAACATAGGTTTAGGCCTATATTCGCTGTATAAGACTACCCCCCACTTCAAAGAAAAGACTTACTTTGCCGTCAAGATCTGTAGGTAATTTTTGTGCAATTTCGGTCTTTTGCCCCCGATTTTCGGTTGACTTTTTTTCGTTTCAAACGTCGTCTTATACACCGGAAAATATGGTACCTATTTTCGTATTTATATTATTTACTTATATATTTTTATATCTCCAACCTTTATATAATAAAAAACATATAAAACTGATCCAATCATCAATAATTTGTCAGAAAAATTTAAAAGTTTTTATGTATGTGAACGAGAAATATGCGTAGATGAATCTCTTTTATTATGGAAAGGGAATTTATCTTGGAAACAATATATATCTATAAAAAGAGCTAGATTTGGAATGAAGTTGTTTATTTTGAGTGCAAGCCAATCTGGATATGTACAAAATATAATTTTATACACAGGCAAGGACACAAATTATGGTTCGAACAACCCACAAGAAAAACAATCAACAAGAAGTGTTTTGGAGTTAACACATGACTTACTGAATAAAGGGTATAGGATTTACTTATAATTTCTATATGTCAATTCATTTGGCTGAACTCTTGTGTCAAAACAATACAGACATTGTTGGAACAATGAGGATAAACAGAGTCGGAATCCCCAGTGAAATAAAAACAAAAAAATTACAGAAAAATGAATATATGTAAGAATCAAAGACAAACTTATGGTTTTAAAATGGAAGGATAAAAAAGACGTATTGCCGAGGCCGGTTTGGCTCAATGGATAGAGCGTCGGCTTAGGGACTGAAGGGTCCCGGGTTCGATTTCGGTCAAGGGCATGTACCTTGGTTGCGGGCACATCCCCGGTAGGGGGTGTGCAAGAGGCAGCTGGTCGATGACTCTCTCTCATCGATGTTTCTAGCTCTCTATCCCTCTCTCTTCCTCTCTGTAAAAAATCAATAAAATATATATTTAAAAAAAAAAAGACGTATTGATGCTCAGTTCTATTCATAATGACAAAAAGACAATGACTGAAAAGAGAGGAAGAAGGCAAGAAAAACCGAATGTTGTCCTGGATTATAACAAGAATATGGGCGGCGTAGATTTGGGAGATGGAGTTATAGTGGCCTACACAGCTGTCCGTAATAGGGTAAAAAAATTTTAAATTTTTTCCTATGATTAATTAATATGTGCTGCTTCAGTGCATATATTATATACAAAAAAGATAAAGGTCATTTGGATCGATTACACTTTTTGATAGTGTAGAGAAATTGGTAGATAACAACATAATGAAAACCCACCCAAAGACATCAACAAGCAGCTCTACATCTAAACCATCTCACTTAGTTAAAAGGCATTTTCCAGAACAAATGAAAAGCGATATAGGAAAAACTAAATCCAGGAAATGCCGAGTTTGCTACAAAAAAGGTGTTTGGAAAGAATCTACATACTGGTGGATTGTAAGGTAGCACTATGTATCAACAATTGTTTTAAAATATATCACACGGAAGTTGAGTTTTGAATTTTTACATCTATATTTCAATTTTTTAAACTCAATATTTCTATTTTATTTGTGTGCTTTTGTTTATTGTTCTGTAATTAACTTTTTATATTTTTATTGTGTATAGAAATAAAAATATATATTTTTGTAATCTTTATAATTGTAAAATTTGTAATTTTTTAATTCGATGTTTCCATTTTTTTGTTGGTATCCTTTTCTATTTGTTTGTAATTTTGTATTTTCCTTTGTGCTTTATATATAAATAAACGAAAAAATATATATTTAATTTATTTTAAGTAAGTATAAATAAAAATAATAATAATATAAAATTACGGGGAGTGACGTACTGACACGTCCTACTAGTGAAAGAGTATGCGCCCGTTGTACGTTGCGTAATTGTTGCGTAATTAAAAAGGGAACTCCCCGGTTAACAGGTTAACTGTTAACTATCCTTTACAAACCTGTGTAAAAGAAGTAGATTGTCTATTATATTTATCAAATCCCAGAGATTTCCCAGTTTTGCTTTCTACCACCTCCCTAATCTATCAACAGTGAAGTTCATGTATCCCCCTTACATCTTTCCCTTTGATCCTAATGTATAAAATAAAGTGCAAAACTGCTCTTCTCTGGAGCATTTTCTCTTTCCGTTGAGATTTTGCTTCCTGGAAATGGTTTGGCTCAAATACACTCATACAAATTCTTGCAGATTTGGACGTTTCTTTCGTGAACTCCATAATCCTGCGAAGTAGGTACTACTAACACACTCATCTTGAGGAAGAAACTGACTCGGAGAAAGGAATGCTGTGATGAATGTCTCACAGTCAGCCACCTGATATCCTAGGACCTAGTGTGATTTCGGAATCTGATGGCTTCCTGGACAAAACACAAATGAGAGGCAGGGGCAGGCCTAGAAGCCAGAACCCCCGACTCACGGCCCAAGATGCCTCCATTAGCCCTGCGCGGAGTCGAACGCCGCAGAAAGGCCAATGGAGAAATGCAGGGTCGTCTCTGGTAAAGGGGCCTCCTAGGCTGCACCTCCCTCCCGGATTCCGGAACCAGCCAGCCCCCGACGGCACCACCCGGGCCAGTTTCCCGGCATCCTCCCCGCGCGAGGGCTCACTTCCGGTTCTAAGTAGGCCCCGAACAGAAGCAACACCTGGCTCGCGCCCTGTTCCTTGGACACTCTCCCCGCTGGGATTCTAGGCTCTACACCCGTTCCACCGCCGCCCCCGCCTTCTGTCAGCACGGCCCCCTCACCTGCCCCGGGCCCCCACCCCCCCACCTCGCGGCCCCAAGGCCCCAAGCTGACGACCGCCCTCACCTCCTCTCTCTTCGCCTGCCGCGGTCTTTTACAAACGCGGCCAAACTGTTCGCTGTAACGACAGTCGTTATTGGCCAGAGCCGCCCATGCGCGGTGAGTGCCCGCCCACCTCAACTCGCGTTGTCTGATGGGAGTTGGAGTTTTCTCCTGTAGGCTGCTGAGAATAGCTGCAGAATACGTGGTGGAACCTGCGCTTACCTGGGGAGTTTCACTCAGATTCTTCACTGCAGGGGCTGCAGTGTCTCTGGCCGACCCTCCTAGATCGGAAGGCACTGACAGCTCTAGGGCTGGTCTGGACTATTGCAGGCCTGTGAGAGTCCTGTTTCTGAGTAAGAGTTCCATTGGTAATGATGAGACAAAAAATCGTCTTAGATTTTCTACGTGATTAGCAGATACCGGTGGCGTCTTGCCATTTTATCCAAGGAAGTCTTATTCAACAGGTTATGCGCTCTATCCCTTCTACGTTTATATTAAGCTATCTTTTTCTCTCTTAACTGTAGTCTGACATATTATTTTAACGTTTTCCCTTATATAATGCGTTGAAATCGGCGTCCTACGTCCTAGTTCTGGTCCTTGGGATCACGAAGAATAAATGATTTTTTTAAATAAATATGATTTTTGTTCGTGAGTGAAGATCGCTCCTGAGTGCAGTGTATTAAGGGTGAGAGGAGTGTGTGTGTCGATTTCCTGAAACTATGGCCCTGGTCTTGCTACTTTCCTGGCTCTGTGAGAAGGTTGCCTGGGAAAATGATCCTTTCCAGGAGGTAAAAGGGAGAAAGGCACACTTTCGTCTTGAGATAATATTTTTTATTATAGTTATTCTCCCCCTCTAGGATATAATTTAGTTTAAATTAATAAACTTTTTTTTAGAGCAGTTGTAGGTTCACATAAAAATTGAGCAGGGTGGGAGGGAGGGAGGTGGAAGAGGGTATGGGGGGTAATAAACGGTGATGAAAAAATAATAAAATAAAATTGAACAGAAAGTACAGACAGTGCCCATCTATTCACTCCTTGTTCCTAACACACTATTGACATCCTGCACTGCAGTGGTAAATTTGTTATGATCGATGAACTTACAATACATTGAAACATCATTATCACCTAAAATCCATATTTTACACTAGGGTTCACTCTTGATGGTGTATATAGTCTATAGGTTTTGACAAATGTAAATAATAGGTATTGACCATTGTAGTATACAGAATAGTTTCACTGTTAAAAGTCCTCACTTTCTTATGATAGTTTCACTGTTAAAAGTCCTCACTTTCAAGTTCATCCCTCACTTCCTCCTAACCCCCTAAAACCACTGATACTTTTACTATGTCCAAAGTTTTACCATTTCCAGAAGGTTATATTATTTTTTTAATATATTTTATTGATTTTTTTTTTTACAGAGAGGGCGAGAAATAATTAGAAACATCGATGAGAGAGTCATTGATCAGTTGCCTCTTGCACACCCCCTTGGATGTGCCCCAACCAAGGTGCATGCCCTTGACTGGAATCGAACCCGGGACACTTCAGTCAGCAGGCTGACTTTCTATCCACTGAGCCAAATCGGTTTCAGCAAAGGTTATATGATTGATATTATAGATTAGTCTTTCAGATTGGCTTCTTTCATTTACTAATATGCATTTAAATTTCCAACTTCTTTTTATTTTTTTAATGTATTTTATTGATTTTCTCTAGAGAGAGGAATGGAGAGGGATAGAGAGCCAGAAACGAGAGAGAAACATCGACTTCCTCCTGCACACCCCTTTACCGGAGATGTGCCTGCAACCAATGTACATGCCCCTGACCAGAATCGAACCTGGGACCTTTCAGTCCACAGACTGACGCTCTATCCCCTGAGCCAAACTGGTTTCAGCTCCAACTTCTTTTTAAATCTTGGCTGTATCTATAGCGAAAACCCTCTTTTTGTTCCTAATTTTACTTGTGCTTTCTTTTTTCTGATTAGTTTTACCACATGATGTTATATATTTTATTAATCTTTTCAAAAGAACAAACTTTTTGGCTTATTTGAGCTAGTTTATTATATATTTGTTTTCAATTATATTAATATTTGCCCCCATTTCATAATTTCTTTCATTATTCATTTTCTAACCTCCTAAGCAGGAAACATAGCTCATTAATTTTAATCCCTTCTTTTCTATTAGCATTAAAGTTATACATTGTTTTCAAAGTGCCATTTAACCACAAATTTTGATATTTTTTTAAAAAAATATATATTTATTGATTTTTTTACAGAGAGGAAGAGAGAGGGATAGAGAGTTAGAAATATCGATGAGAGAGAAACATCGACCAGCTGCCTCTTGCACACTTCCTACTGGGGATGGGCCTGCAACCAAGGTACATGCCCTTGATCGGAATCGAACTTGGGACCCTTGAGTCCACAGGCTGACGCTCTATCCACTGAGCCAAACTGGCAGGGCTGATATGTATTATTTTCATTCATTAACAATTTTATATTTAAACGTTTTTTACTGTGATATTGTCTTTGGCTCATAAGTACGTGTTTTGGAATTTCTACAATTTTTTGTTATGATTTTTAAAAAATATTTGCCTTTATTTCTGGAACTTGCAGATTTTAAAAAATATGTATTTTATTGATTTTTTACAAATAGGAAGAGAGAGGGATAGAGAGTTAGAAACATCGATGAGAGAGAATCATTGATCAGCTGCCTTTTGCACCCCCCCCCCACTGACGCTCTAACCAAGCTTGGCCAGGAGTAGAACATTTGTCTCTTAATATTATCAGTGAATTTATTCCTATTTTAATTTCTTGTTCTGATATTTTACTATTATCACTGTTCTAATTTCTTGAATACATCTTCTTTCCTCTCAGGATATTACAGTTCTTGGAAGTTTCCTGATTGATAGTTGCTTTTTGTTTAGATCTACCTTTCACAAAGTTTCCTTCAATTTCTGGTTATCTCTGGCTGTCCAATTTTAAAAGTGAAGAGCTAAAAACCTGTTTTGGAAGATCTGCGTACATGGGAAGGGCTTAATGACTGGCATGCTCCCCCCATGCTTCACTATAGGGGGATTGGTGGCCATTTGGTTTTTTTTCCTATCAAGAGTTTAGCGTGGTCAGTGTGGCTCAGTGGTTGAGTGTTGTCTATGAACCAGGTCACGGTTCAATCCCTGATCAGAGCATATATCTGGGTTACGGGCTCAATCCCGTTTGGGGGGTGCAGGAGACCGCCAATCAATGTTTCTCTCTCTTTCCCTTCCTCTCCGAAATCACTAAAAATATATTTAAAAAGTTTTAAAAGTTTAGTTTTTCCACAGAAGGCTCCTCCAAATCCCCCTTTGTGTGTGCAAGTGTGGCGTTCATGTGTCAGAGCTGAACAAGGAGGAGGTGGGGAATCTCATTTATCCAGCATGTAAATTTGTACTTAAATCCCTATTTTCTGTAAAGTATTTCATCCTAGCCTAGTAACACTGAGTCAGAAGTCTACTTTTTCCTTTTTTTAGTTGAATTATTATCAGAATAACTTCAGCCTCCAATTTGAGAGGCTGTAATGTAAAATCCTATTCAATTGAGACACATTCACATAAATTTTATTAAGGCTCTTAAATTAAAATTTCTTGTTTTAGAGGTATATTCTTCAAGTTCTAAACACAACAGTAAAATGCAGTGACTGGGAAAAAATGTAATAACCTCCTCCAAAAAAATGATTTTTAGAAATCACTCTTTCAATGGAAGGGTGTGCTTTTTATTTCCTATAAACGCATTTTATTTTTCAAATTGACTATCACCTGAAGAGCACCAATAGCACTTAGTAAACCTAACTCTCTTTGTATATGCAATCTAGTCCTAATAATCTAGTCCTTCTCAAATGTAGTAGAACTCTTAACACAAAAGGAAGAGGAATACAAAAGGAGAGGAGAAAACACAGGGATAAAACAGAATAAAACTATAATGTGAATTTCATTTTCTACAAAGAGATAATATCAAGGAAAATAAGATCTTGGTTTATAATGACTTGAATCTAAATAATTCCAATTCTTTGTTGTATTAAACAGAAACACAATGCAAACCATGGTTTCTGGAATAAGATTTTTAAAAATCTAACAAATATCTGAATGAATATAACAATATGGTTAGACCAAAAAGAAAAAAGTCTATCACACAATAATCACTGAAGATCCCACAAGTTATAGAAAACATAAAGAAACTTTAATATCCAAACAGGGCAAAAAATACTGGATTAATGACCCATTAAATGTGAGTCACATCAGGTTCCTTATAGTACCAGATGTATTTAAAAATAAAATTTGAATGCATATTGTAAAGAATAAAACCATTTTTAAAACTTATAATTTATTTTCCTGATACTAATGCCAGTAAGTTTAGACTAAAGAAAAAAGGTTAAGTGATTTGTTTTCACAGAGTAAGATTAAAATAAAAATTATCAACGTTCCTAAATATGAATTTGTTCAGTAGTAACCTTTTCATCATACCATTTTTTTTCTTCCAGAAAGTAGTCAATGTACGTTTTAAGATTTGTACACTAAAAAAATATACTGGCTAATAAAAAGTATTACTACTTGACATCGTCAAAATAAAAGAAAAACTATACTTTTGCTTATTTATGCCCAAATAATTTACCCTGCTCTCCACAGATGTGTAGTAAATATTTCTGAAACAGTGAAAAATGAAGGTCCTAAAATAGAAACATAAGCCAGAATAATTTAAAAATAGCTTCCTGATATTTTATTTTTTGAGTTATTTCACTTACACTACTTTTGGTTGCATGTCCTGATCTGTAGAAGTTAACAAGGAAATAAAATTTCCAAGTATTTAAATAATTTACTCATCTTTCATAAAGCAACTTTTAATGTAGCAACACTTAAAAATACACAGTGACTTAATGAAACATTAGTACAACTGCATAGAATTGAGCTCCAGAGAATTATATACTAATGAGTTGTCTTTCCTGGGCTCTGGTTTACAAGAGCATTGGCTTAGAGACCAGCTTAGAGTCATTTGTTCCCCTTTAGGAGATACAGGCCTTTTCTGTTCCTAAATAACGTACTAGGAGCTATCTGAAGCTCTTAAAAACAACTGACCACCCAAATATGTATACTGGGGACCCTTCCCCTTTGTGAGTCAAGGAAGGGAGTTTGTGACTTTCAATGAAAAAACAAAACAAAACAAAACAAAACTATTCTAAGAGACTCTGAAATGTACTAGAAATTTCAAAACTAGAACAATGCTATCAAAGATTAAATCTCTTAATGCTTGGAGTCACCCCAAAATATAATAAAATTGGGAACTCCAGGAAAACAGGTACCAAAAGAATCAAAATAATGATTGCACTGAGGATTCTCCTCTTTGAAGGCTGTTTAAGGAGGTAGGATTTTAAAGGTTTTTTTTGTTTATCTTTTGGCCTCTGAATATTTAAAAAATGCTTTGCCCGGCTGGTCCTTCAGGCTAATTTTGGAGTTCATAATGAACCCCAAGCCTGACGTAAGGATATTCTAGTTTCACAGCTATTATCTGTACATATTAAAATTAAGTTGATTTACTCTTTTTGAGTAAATACAAACTAGGAAATGGCAAATTAATATATTCCTTTACATACAACTTTGTCTAAAAGTTCTCAAAAAACAAGAGCAGATGACTTTGTATTCAAAGACTACCAAAGTGTATATTTGATAATCACATGCAAACAACTTAAAATCTTACAAATCTCCTGTCAACTCTGCATGATACCTTTAAGAAGGAAATGACATACAAAGTTAGCTAACTGTGCAAAATATTAAACTGCTAAAACATTTTCATAATGAAATAATACATGTAAATGTAGAAGTTGACACATGAAATTAGCACAGTTCATAAGAACTTATCACATTTCAGAGATTTGCTTTAGTAACAAGTTTTTTGTTTTTATATTCCTGGTACACAGCAAAATTTATCACAGAAGTTAAAAATTCTTTTAAACAAAGTTAACAGGGAGTTCTTGAGGCACCTTCTCATATAAAACACAAGATGAATGCAATTAACAATCCATCTGAGAAAAATTTTCAATCTAAGTGAACATTTGTTTTTCCATTTAAGTATATTATACAGAACTTTAATAAGGCAAGACAAATTTGTGAAAAAATGTAGATACAAAAATGATGTAAACTAATAATTTATATTAAAAAACCCCAAAAGGAAAACAGTGGAGATGGGATAGTTCAAACAAACCTTTGTAAAAAGACTTAAAACAGAATTGTGCACAATCTGAAGATTATAAAGAACTTCGAGACTGCACAGTTTTGGTTTTTCATGTTTTGTTTTTTATATCTTTATATTACATGTTTTAAATCATATCAGGAATGCAAACTAGAACTGCACACTACTTTAGTGGAAAAAAAGTTCAACATTGTGCAATTTTCTGCCTCTTAATTTTTAAAAAGTGGCAGCAATCCCTGCATTTGTGTTTGAAACAAGGATCTGAGAAACTTTATTAAAAAAGGTAATGAAGGCAAAAATTGGCAGACATCCAGCATCTTGTTTCTTTTTAAAACAATATGGATGGTTAAGTAATTTCATGATTAAAAAATGAACATTTAAATAAATACATTGTATCTGACATTTGCACTGACTGATTTGATTAAATCTTTAAGTAAACAACGGCTTTACTACACTCTCTGTAGCCTCAAGCCACTGGCTTTAGATTTTGGAGTCCTTTTTCACTGGGTTTCATACCCTGCCACGCGATACCCTGCAGGCTGATTAGGCAACATGCTGCCGTTCTGTCCTGGAGGTGGCTGCAGTCCATAATTTGGTTGCATCCATGGCGGAGTAGTCTGTGTCTGACTGGGAGAGCATGTGAAAGAAGAGGGGAGAGAAATCCACTGACTAAAATGAAAGATAACACCAAGATCAAATAACATACAGAGAGGAAATATACTTTTTCTTTAGTTCAAAAAAAATAATTATTATTATGCCAAGGAAAACAACAGTACAAGCATCCTCATAGGTTTAATTTGTACAGCTTACTCTTGTTAGTTTAATTACAGTTAAGAAAATACCCTTAACCTGTAAACATTTATCCCCTTTGACCTCAGAAAAAAAACTCATCTTTCATTTCAGGAAGAAATGCTATACAACTGGGTTGGACATGTGGTGAACAAGCCACTTTCTGAAATAAACCTGACCATTTGATATGATAAGACTAGAACTTACATTACTCAATGAAAAAAGTATATATATAAGCACATAAATTTTTTCAATATTATAAATACAAGCTTTTTAAAATAAAAACTGTAAAGTATTTTAATCTTTACTTTCTCAGATTGTTTTTCAGAAATTTAAGTAAAATTGCATAATTTAGGGTGTATAAAGAAGCTTCCACGCCGAGACCGGTTTGGCTCAATGGATAGAGCGTCGGCTTGGGGATTGAAGGGTCCCGGGTTCGATTCCGGTCAAGGGCATGTACCTTGGTTGCGGGCATATCCCCAGTAGGGGGTGTGCAGGAGGCAGCTGATCGATGATTCTCTCTCATCGATGTTTCTAACTCTCTATCTCTCTCCTTTCCTCTCTATACAAAATCAATAAAATATATTTTTTAAAAAAAAATAAGCTTCCATGTAATAATATACTTTTTTACACAGAAAAAATGAATAACAAATAAAGCAACTAACAACAAAATTGTATTCAAGAATGGCCAAGGGAGCCATCATAACTTATAACGATGGTTATACCTCAAAGAAACATATTTCTAGGCAAAACTTTAAAGAGATACATCTAAAACTATAAACTAAAATCTACCCTAAACTAAGTCTTTCAAAGGTTAAAGCTATGCTTTGGAAAGAGGGCCATGCTTTCTACTAATTACTTAAAATCTCTCCCTAAGTTCTTGACATTTTCAAAGACTAATAATAAATAAAAAGAGCTAATATTCTTACTTAAATCCTGGCTGGTTCCATGGCTGGCCATACATTCCATATGCAGGTACTTGCCAACCATTAGGCATATACTGGCCAATTTGTTGAGCATTTCCATACCACTGGCCCCATTGGCCATAAGCTGGTGGATATCCAATTTGATTCTGCTATTAAGTAAAATTATAACAGATAATTTAGTATTATTTGAAGTTATATGTCTTAATATACCACAAATAACTAATATACATAGCCATACCAAATAGGGCCATTATTACAATTAAAATGAAAGGATAAACAAGAGTTTAGAAAGTGACTGCTAAAAAAAAAAAAAAAAAAAAAAAAAAGGTTATATTACTATAACTTGACATAATACTCTGAATAGCAAATTCTTTGTAAGGCAGTGGATAATGTTCTAGTAATAAATATTAAATTCAGTATAATGTTTAGTGCTTTATAAACTATTCACATGACTTGTTTCCTTTAGATAAGAAAGATACAAAGATTATTTCTACATTCAGTTTTATTACTCCTATCTTAATGCTCCATTTACAATTCCCTCATAGAAATCTTTGTGGGATCAAGTTAACCACTAAAGCTGCCTGGAAAAACAAAAGCAGCAAAATGCAAGGCCCTAAATATAAGTATAACTACATTTTTATTTCAATCAAGTCAACAATGCTTGTGAGTTTTCCATATAATATGTGAATAAATCTACCAAGTATTAAGAAAAAATTTAATACCCTGTTAGGTTTGTCGGAGCATTTTAAAATCCACTGTGTATGAGTCAATTGAGGCGGTCACATTCATCATGTCACCACTGCAATCCATGAGCCACCACTCTGGAACTATAATACACGTAGGATGAGCCCTTACATATACTATCATTTTAGTATGAACTAGAAACTTATTAACATGGATTATAAACAATTTCATTCTAAAACAATATTATTAGTATTAGCCCAGTAATTATTTCGCAAAGTCAAGAACCCTCTCACCTGTTGCACAGGATTTATCATATCAAGAGTTTCTTTGCCCCAATAGCATTTCACAACATGACCTTCAATAGTAGTTCCATTAACAGAAACAATTGCATGTGCTGCACTTTCATGGGAGTTGAATCTATTGAAAACAATATTAAGAATCACCAATATAAATTGTTTAAAAACTTAAAAATAAAACTCATTTTTTTAAAATCAAGTTGAGCCCAGCTGGTGTGGCTCAGTGACTGAGTAGTGACCCATGAACCACGAGGTCACCGGTTCAATTCCTGGTCAGGTACTTGCCAGATTGCAGGCTTGATACCCAGAAGAGGATATACAGGAGGCAGCTGATCAATATTTCTCTCTCACTGATGTTTCTATCTCTCTATCCTTGTCCCTTACTCTTTAAAATACATATTAAAAAAAAAAATCAAGTTGAGCCAGGCAGTTCACATAAAAGAATCAATAAGATGGCATATTCTCCCCCCTCAAATCCTAAAATTCTGGAGAAACTTCTTTTAACAGAAGATGTTTTACTGGCTTTGTGTTGAAAGATGGAAACTATTAAAAAACAGTGGCAAATATGCTAAATGCTAGAGAAATTTTTATTTCTTTATAATGGAAATAAAATTTTAAGAAAAACACTAAGTTAAATATATAAAAATAATTTTGGGGGAATTTTTTTAATAAAGCCACACCTACCGAACAAATGAATATCCTTTATCTGGAAAGACTCGAATTTCCATTATTTGTCCAAATGGCGAAAAAGTCTGACGCATTAATTGTTCTGTTAAGATAAAAAACAAACAAACACAAAAACACACCCATTATATTAAAATCCACAAATATTAAAATTTTCGATTTCAAAATTAACCTCAAAATGCCATACTGGTAAAGCTCCCATACCTGTTAGCCCAGAAGTGACTCCTCCACAGTATACAGTACAGTTGCTTGGACTAGACTGATTTACAACCTCATCATATGACAGCTGTTTGGTGTTTGCTGGGGATGGAAAGTTTTATATTATTAATTCATTAAATAAAATGTTCAGAAAGAGAAATTCAGTATTACTAGTAACTACACTACTGTAATAGTAATATCTACCTTGAATGAAATGCTTACATACTACACATTATATTTGATTGATGATTATACCTCCCCCAAGAATGTCTTAAAAATTACTCAATATTCTATATTTAATAGGAGACTTCATATTCGAGGTAATATTTACTATTTGTAATTACAAAAATGAAAACTAAGTACATTTTAGAACAGTAGTCTTGATTTGCTTCTCATCTATTTCTGCAATAAGTCTCCAGGAACAGCTCTAACATTTAAAATCTAGTGTATTTTCCTCCAAAATTCCACATTTCCTTTTCTTCTCCAATACACCTACACTCATATGTACTCTTTGGAGCTGGAGGCTTTCGGGTTGCCCAGTTAGTTCTGATTTGTCTTCCTCCGAGCCACTGGCCACCCATCTGTTGAATGGCGTTTTCTGCATCCTGTTCCACACAACATTAGAAATGACAAAGACATTATTAGTTGATGTTAAACATTAGCAGTAGAGAAAACTCATGTATGCTTTTCACAATTTTTTTTGAGTGAAAATGCTTTATGAGATACACAATATGTGATAGCTCACCTACAATGCAATGAATGGCGCTTTTAAATTATCTTTCTTTTATAGTTATGTTAATCACCCAAAAAAAGTCCAAAGCCCAAAAGCCTTTCTGAGGTAGCTATTATAAAGTTCATGTAACAACTTAAGACTATTATGGATGAAAATCTCACTTTATACAATCCAACAAGTAAATAAATATTGAACAGATATCATATTCTGGACAGCAGGTTAAATGTTAGGGATATATTAGTGAATGAGGCAGATGTGGGCTCTACTATCATGGAGGTGACAAAGTAATTACAAATTGTATATGCTATAACAGAAACAAAACGCAGATATAGAGATTATGGACTTGGGGATTTACTTTAGGTAGCATGATTAGGGAAGGTCTCTTTGAAATGATATTTGAGCTGAAACTGAGAGGGAAAGGAGCAAGCCACGTCAAAACATCAAAAACTTTCTTCCAGCCGAAACTGGTTTGGCTCAGTGGTAGAGCATCGGTCTGTGGACTGAAAGGTCCCAGGTTCGATTCTGGTCAAGGGCATGTACATTGGTTGTGGGCACATCCCCGGTAGGGGGTGTGCAAGAGGCAGCTGGTCGATGTTTCTCTCTCGTCAAAGTTTCTAGCTTTCTATCTCTCTCCCTTCCTCTCTGTAAAAAATCAAAAAAATATATTTTAAAAACAAACAAACAAACAAAAAAAAACTTTCTTCCAGCCAAAGCCATATTGGCTCAGTGGATAGAGCGTCAGCCTGCGGACTGAGGGGTCCCAGGTTCGATTCCGGTCGGGGGGCATGTGCCTTGGTTGCGGGCACATCCCCAGTGGCAGGTGTGCAGGAGGCAGCTGATCGGTGATTCTCTCTCATCGATGTTTCTAACTCTCTGTCCCACTCTCTTCCTCTCTGTAAAAAAATCAATAAAATATATTAAACAAAACAAAACAAAACAAAAAAAACCCCACAACTTTCTTCCAGGAAGAAAGTTCTGGAAAAGGGAAAAGCATTGTAAACTGTGTAAAGGCAGCAAAGAGACTGGCATGCATCTGAAAGAAGAATGTGAAAGATACCTAATTTCACTGGAATCTAGTGAACAAAAAGGGTGCCAGAAGAAAAAACTGAAAGATTTTAAGTATGAGTTGAGCATGATCAGATTTATGTTTTTAATATATGTTATTGATTTTACAGAGAGGAGAGGGACAGAGTTAGAAATATTGAGGAGAGAGAACATCAATCAGCTGCTTCCTGTACACCCCCTACTGGGGATGGAGCCTGCAACCAAGGTACATGCCATTGACCAGAATCAAACCTGAGACATGCCCAGGTAGTGTGGCCCGCACTATTATATTCTCTCTCCTGTCCTCTCTTTCTAAAAATCAATGAAAACTTATTAACAATTGCCGAAATCAGTTTGGTTCAGTGGATAGAGCATCAGCCTGCGGACTGAAGGGTCCCAGGTTCGATTCTGGACAAGGGCATGTACCTTGGTTGCGGGCATATCCCCAGTGGGGGGTGTGCAGGAGGCAGCTGATTGATGTATCTCTCTCATCGATGTTTCTAACTCTCTCTCTTCCTTCCTGTCTTTAAAAAACAATTAAAATATATATATATATATATATATAACTTATTAACAACAGAAATATATATATAACTTATTAACAACAACAAAAATATATATATATAACTTATTAACAACAAAAAAGTCCCCTCCTGGAGCATTTTATTAGCTACTCTTAAATTATTACAGGAATACAAAACAGGGAGATAATGAAAATATCCATTAGTGAGGGAGGTTAATTATCAGTGAAATGAACAAATGGCAAAAGAAAGAAAAGACTATGAAAACAAAATGAGTACTTTAATTCTTTACTCTTGAAGCACTGCACATGCATTTGTTCTTTTTTGTTGTTGTTGCACATGCACTTTTTATTGAGCTCACCCATTTGTTGAAAAAGGAGACAAAGCCATAGCCCTTAGACTTTCCTGTTGCCATGTCTTTTACCACTCGGGCATCTCTGAAATTAGAACAATCAGAAGTTTAGGTTTGCAAACTCTCCTGTGTATTATCAAGTGAGAATTTCACACACAACTTATTTTCATGTTTCATCTTCATTAAAATGAACCTTTAATGCAAATTCACCTTTTATTCTATAAAATTTATGTATTAGCAAATAAGGCTTAATTTTATAAACATGCAAATCAATAACTTCTTTAAATATGTATATATACATTGTACAAAAACTGCTTCCCATTTCAAAAAGTTTTAAACTTTTAAATATTAAGCATGGTGAAGACAGCTATTCAGATGATTATTTAACCACTTACAGGGTTCACAGGCACATTAGATGAATGGCTTTCTTTAACCATGCAATTTATAACTTACTATTTGATACCATATACTACCTAATCATTAAAATAGAAAACTGAAAACTAAGAGAATAAAAAACTTGTATATTCCCTAAATTAAATACATTATTTTCTCAGATCAATTCATACCCCCGCCCCCTTTTGGACTATTGGTAAACTTTGAAAACTTGACATTTTCAGAAATGCTAAATAATTGAAGAAAAAAACTAGACACACATTTTAGTTTTAAATTATATATGAAAGGATTTTATACTGAATTTTAAAATAGCAATCATATAAGATTGATTGGAAACTGTAAGATATAAGAGCAAAATCTTAAAAAGTCAGAAAGTAAAAAAGCACGCCAACATTTATCCACTGTGAACCGTAGCTTGTAGTTAGCCAGGGCAATTCTGTCCATTCTTCAGAGATACTCTGCAAAATAACCAGAGCCCTATTATTTGAGATTGAGTAAAAAACCCAGCCATGATAGCTAAAACTCCATACCTCAAAAAATTGGACTCAAATTGTGCTTCACAGGCAAATCTGCTTTTAAGTTAGCCAGGTATGTTACAATGCTTGTTCTCTCAGGACACATGAACAAAACAGGCACTTTCACAACAAAAACCCAAGTCAGAAAGCCATGCAATATAATTTATATTAAAGTATACATAAGCATATTTTGATCACCTTAGAAGTGATTTATGAAATGTTTAAGGTCAAAAATGACAAAGAGGTAGTGGTAAAAAAAGGAAAACTAATGCAAGTCACTTCTTACTATGTAAAAATACTTATTATCTGTAAGGCACACATGCATTAATTTGGTAGCAGATTCACTTCTATTTCAAAATTTGTTAATTATATAAAACTCAAGGAATAGAAAGTTTACTATATTACTTAGAAAAAGAAAGTACTATATTTTTTATACTAATATTTTAATAGGTCACCATTTACTGCATGTCTTCTATAACTCACTGTTGTAGGATCTCTACTGAGACTATCATAAGAACCTTTCAATATATTAGTATAGTTATCAACTTATCTCCTTTAACAACAAAAAAAATCAGAAAATGATGCTACCCTACTGAAAATGGTTCTTTTAAATTTTAAATATTATTTAAAGTTTAAATATTATTTATATATTGCCTCAACTTAAAATTATAAAATTTAAGTGATGGCCTTACCCAAGAAAAATATATCAATAATCATGGTTGGCCTTAATAAAAGCTAGACTATAATTATGATACCAACATATTTAACAAAAAGAAATTATTGATCCGTGATTAAAAGTCATGAAATTACTAAAATTTGAATGTCGTTTAACTTGAACTCATTGTTAAGTAATCTTTATCTAATCCCAAACTAAAATTCCCATTTTCAGAATTTACTTCAATCAAAATTAAAGCATTCAATAAAATAGCTATATAACCTGTTAAAACATTAGAAAATTTTCTTTCTAGAATTAAGTTTTAGAAAATGTTAGCCTTGAAATACAATTAATTCTTACTTATTTCTGAAAGGATTTCTAAGGAAGCAGCAGCAAATATCTAGACCATGGTTCTTTAATCTTTCTTTAATCCTTTTATGGTCCTATGACTACTCTGAAAATAGAATAAAACTTACAAAAGATACTCCACACCAAAAGGAAAACAAACACAACACTTTGCATACAGAGATTTATAGAGCCTTTGAGAGGCTAAGGGTTAATACCTTCCAGTCTAGATACTTGAAAGCAAGTTAACCATCATCAAAACCCTATGACAGATTAAAGGGAACAATAAATTAGAACTTATTTTTCCAATCAGTTCTCATAAAGGTAAATGTCACCTAACAAAAGAGTCTGTTATTAGTAAGCCATAATTTTGCAATTGCCTCTAAAGATGGTCTCTTACTATGCATGTTCATCATCCTACCAACGAATTACAACTCTTCAAACGAAAATTCCAAAAATTCATCACCTGTTCTATTGGCACTTATCTTTCTCCTCACCTCATATTTGCTGTTGGTCTGTGCATGAAACTAAACCAAAGCTAGTGTTTCCTTTGTGCTTTAGTTAAGATAATTTACTACTCTTATAGCTGGAATAATAATAAAGTAACCAGAAACCCTAAAAAAATTCTGTTTTCTAAATTCAGTGATTACATGCAAAAACGTACTATTATCAAATTATTAGTCTTACTCTATTATGGCATGTTTTTTAAAGTATTAGAATTTTTTATGATGAATACTACATTGAGTGAGCTATTTCAAAGGGCTTAAACTGTATATTTAATAACAAATGCAAGCAGGAAAGAACTTTATAAAAAACTAAAGGCATTATTACTGTTGTTGTTAGTAACAACAACAAAAGGGTCGGTTGACTTGAAATTAACACTCAGTAACTATTTTGGGGGTTAAAATTATGTTTCTTTTTGTTAAAAGGTATCACCGAAACCGGTTTGGCTCATTGGATAGAGCGTCATCAGTCTGTGGACTGAAAGGTCCCATGTTCAATTCCGGTCAAGGGCATGTACCTTGGTTGCGGGCACATCCCCAGTACGGGGTGTGCAAGAGGCAGCTGATCGATGATTCTCTCTCATTGATGTTTCTAGCTCTCTCTCTCTCCCTTCCTCTCTGAAAAAAAAACAAACAAACAAAAGAAACAAACAAAAGCATGGTATCATAGAAGTGCCCAAAAGGTCTAAATTCCTTGGTCACAGCACAATTTACTAAAGACTATGACTTATACGTGAAGCAATATGTAGAATAGTAAAATTGTCTCTTAAAAGCTAATGCTAATTGAAAAATAGATTTTAAGATAATTGAAGACCAAAGATTTATTTAATGGGAAAACAATCTTTGGCTCTTAACTGCTTAAATAGCTTCTAAACAATGTAATATCTTATATTCAAGTGTTAAAATTAATAAACAAAATTCACAGTATATTTTCAAAGTACTTCTAAATAAGATTGTTTCTAATTAAAAGTATCTTCTATTACTTACGATATTCTTCCAAATGGCGCAAATGCAGCTTTTATATCTTCAGTTGTTATTTCTGGACTGAGATCACCAACAAAGACATGGAAATGATCTTATAAGGGGAAGGTAAGGGGAAGTGAAAAGAAAAATAAAATTTTAGAATTTAAAAATACTGAAATTTATTCAATAAATTATTTTTAAAATAATTTATGGATTATAGTAACATACAAATAAAACACTACTCTATAGCTATACAAAGACTATCAATTTTAAACATAATGAATCAAGGTGACAATCCTTCCTAAAGACTGATATATCTGACAGTCATATTTCTGCTTTCAGCCAATTATTATTCTGGCCTAAGAAAATAAACTAATAATATATAAGTTTTTCATAAGAAATTAATGACTTCATTACTGTTTTAATAGTAATTATTTACATTTAATTAGTTTACCACTATATTAAAGCTTTATAATTTAAAATAAAATAGTGGTATTGAGAATTATGTAGACTAGATTTGCCTCAGTTAAGACTGAAGCTAGACATGATATACTTGGTTTAACCATATTTTGTGAAGAACAAGCAAAGAAATACCTTGCATTGCAACAGTTTGATGTTAAAGTATTTGACAGTTTTCTCAAAAGCCAACAGTTTTGGTTGCCCAGACATTACACCATTCAGTTTATGTGAATCCATGTGCATGTGAACTAAGACTGAAGGCAACAAAATGAAAACAGTAATCCCTTCACTTTATATTAGAGCCATTAAAAAAGCATTGGAGAGAAATAACGAGCCCATGTGAAGTTAAAAAAAAAAAAAAAAAGACAATGCTCAAGAAAAGAAACACTTAAAAATACGAAATAGTTGTTTCAACATTTTAAAATAGACATATATATTAATTTTGACAAAATATATTTGGAAAGAAAAGTTACCCCTACTTGGCAGGCCTTAAGCAACACATTGCGTTGCCATTTGGGAAAGTTTCAGGAGCAACTCAAGCAATCAGAAGATCTGGATATGGAGCACAGATCGTGACCACAAGGAAGCAGGGTATCTTGCCCTTTAGTTGGTGAAAGTATTTCTAAGGCATCAGCTGCCTCCAAGAGGGTCAGAGAGCTTGAAATAGCACCAAAGTAGTGGACAAGCCACACTTGGTCAACACTGGGAAGAAGGGGGAAAAATATTGCCAGAGACAAATAGAAATACAACCACCTCCCTCCCCACTCCCCCCAATATAAAAAAAAAACAAAACCAAAAAACTTCAGGTGGTTAGTCAATACCCTTTTCAAGAGATTTCATTTTATGTTTAAGAAGATACAATTACCTTGTGAACGCTGTGTGCTGACAACGGTACTACCTGATGACAAAGATTAGATTTGTTCTTAAATTTATTAACACAAACACATTCAATCATATCTTAGGATAAAGATCAAAACATTACTGCAAACACGTATGATGTTTTTATGCTTTACAATAAAACTACTGTGTACAATAAAAACAAATGTTCAAAAAGTATAATATATACTTACTGCTTGTATCTTTCTTTTGACTGCTGGGGGTTGTTGCCCAATTCACTTTGACTTCCTAAAAAAATTTTGTTCTACATTTATATTCCATAAAAATAAAGCTCAAAATCAGATATTACAAGATTTGTATCTGTATACAATAGGAAGTATATCTTTAAGATGAAATAGGTATCAGTTCCAGTCGATGTTTCTTATCATTTAACCTACATTTATGCAAATAATGTTGTCAAATCCTAATCTTACATACTTACCTGTTAATATTGAATCAACCTTTTTTATCTAAAGTACCAATGAACTTTTGCCTTTTAGTCTTCCCCATTAGTATCCAATGTTCCTAGATGTTTCATCCAAGCTTGAGTAATTCAATAAATATTTTAGTACTTATCACATGCAATAAACATGTCCTCTAAAAGCTTTAGCCCACCTTTTAATAATGTGACTTTTTGTGATAAAGTGAATATAATGTTTCTAAAAAGGAAACAAAACTGTGCAGCTGAAATTTCTAGTTTGGCCTGGCCAGTGTAGCTAAGTGGTTAGAATATCGGCTCACAACCAGTTTCAGATTTGATCCCCACCTCAGTTACGGTGCAAGCATAAGCAACCAATAGATGTGTCTCACATCTATGTGTGTGTGGTGTGTGTCCCTCCTTCCTTCCCTCTCTCCCGCTCTCTCTAAAAAAATCAATGGATAAAAATACCCTCAAGTTGAGGAATAACAACAAATTTCTAGTTCAAGTCACCTTTAATTATGACAGCTTACCTTACCCATTATCTTCCGCCCATTCATAGCAGCCAGTGCTGCAGCTGCATGACGATGCTCATAAAACTCCACAAAACAATATGGATCATTTCCAGCTGTCTGTTGAAGAAAAAAAACACAATAGTCAATTTTAAGTTGTATACTCCCATTACCTTAAAATTGTAACACCTCATTTACCAGACCAATGGAAAATAGAGGTTTCATTCCACAATTAAATCTTATATATATATTTTATTGATTTCAAAGAGGAAGGGAGAGAGAAACATCAATGAGAGAGAATCATTGATCTGCTGCCTCCTGCACGCCCCCTACTAGGAATCAAACCTGCAACCTGGGCATGTGCCCTTGGCTGGAATCAAACCTGGGACCCTTCAGTCTACAAGCCAACACTGTCCATTGAGCCAACCCATCGAGGGCTCCACAAGTAAATCTTTAGGTAAGGAAATAAACACTTAAAAATGAGCTATTTATGCCAGGACGGTGTCACTCAGTGGTTGAACGCTGACCTATGAACCAAGAGGTCAGGATTCGATTTCTGGTGTTTTACCGATAGGGGCCCGTGTTGCGGGCTCGATTCCCAGTGTGGGGCATGCAGAAGGCAGCCAGTTAATGATTCTCTCTGATCATTAATGTTTCTCTCTTTCATCATTGATGTTTCTCTCTGTCTGTTCCCCTCTCCTTCCTCCCTGAAGCCAATAAAAATATATTATTTTTTAAAATGATCTATTTTTATAGAAAGCTATCTTTTTAAAAAAAATACATTTTATTGATTTTTCGCAGAGGAATGGAGAAGGATAGAGTTAGAAACATTGATGAGAGAGAAATATCCATCAGCTGCCTCCTGCACACCTCCTACTGGGGATGTACCTGCAACCCAGGTACATGCCCTTGACCAAAATCGAACCCGGGACCCTTCAGACCGCAGGCTGATGCTCTATCTACTGAGCCAAACCAGCCAGGGCTAGAAAGCTATATTTATCAACAAGTTATACTAGTCTACTATATATAATTTGCTTATTAGTAATTAAATTTCCTAATTATGGACAGATGGATATATAGCTACATTCTCCCCATCATTATACAATTTTTTTTAAAAAAGTTACAGCAGTTAAGTTTGACTAGTATCCTATATTCTCAAGTGTTGGTATTGGTTTTTCTGCCTCTTCCCCATGATATTACCTTTTATGTACATAAATGTACATATAGACTTGCTACCTCTTAGTGAGTAGCAGAAAACATCAACCAACTATCTTAAGCTTGTTTATAAAATATAAATAAATAGGCTCTGAAAAGTAAGAGGTCCTTTGCTAAGTGAAGTTTTAAAATAGGTTTTAGAATTTGGACTTTCTGACATCATTTTTCAGCTGCTTAATATTCTTTTAAAAATTCTCTCCTCTTTTCTGCTGGTGTTCCAAGTAGTTGACATTTGATAATATGGAAAGCCTGAATGTTTTATTGTAAATTAAGGCAGAAAAAATACCTAATATCTTTTTAAAAATATATATATATTTTATTGATTTTTTTACAGAGAGGAAGGGAGAGCAATAGAATTAGAAACACCAATGACAAACATTGATCAGCTGCCTTTTGCACACTCCCCACTGGGTATGTGCCCACAACCAAGGTACATGCCCTTTACCGGAATCGAACCTGGGACCCTTGAGTCCACAGGCCAACGCTCTATCCACTGAGCCAAACCAGTTAGGGCAATACCTAATATCTTATACCTATCAGTGCTCAATATCAAATGACTTCAGAGTATTTACAAATTCTTTCTATACTCTCCTAAAATTAGAAAGTAAGGATTAGAATGAGCCCAGCCAGTGTGGCTCAATGGATTGAGCATGTCCCATGAACCAAGAGGTGTCTGGTTTGATTCTGTCAGGGCACATGCCTGGGTTTCTGACTGGATCCTATGCAGGGTGTGTGCAGGAGGCAGCCGATGACAATGTTTCCCTCTCCCCCTTCCTCTCTCTAAAATCAATAAAAGAATATTTTTTAAAAAGACGAGAATGATGCTAAAATAAAGGTACCATTTTGTTTCAAGCACAATAATTTAAAAAATTCATTGGTGCCGAAACCGGTTTGGCTCAATGGATAGAGCGTCGGCTTGGGGACTGAAGGGGCCCGGGTTCGATTCCGGTCAAGGCCATGTACCTTGGATGCGGGCATATCCCCAGTAGGGGGTGTGCAAGAGGCAGCTGATCAATGACTCTCTCTCATCAATGTTTCTAACTCTCTATCTCTCTCCCTTCCTCTCTGTACAAAATCAATAAAGTATATTTAAAAATAAAAAATTCACTGGTAATGATCTTTAAGAATTGAGAGGCTCTGTCTAGTATTTCCCAGTGGTGAGAGTGTTGGCCCATGCACAGAGGGTTATAGGCTTGATTCCCAACCCCAGTCAGAGCTCGTGTGGGAGGCAACCAATTAATGTCCCTCTTCCCCTCTCTTCCTTCCCCTCCAGTCTCTCTAAAAATCAATGGGAAAAATATCCCCAGGTGCAGGTTGAAAAAAAAGAAGAATTTTAGAGTGAAGAGATAATCACAAATTGATATTGACATTGCCCATTGTTTTATTTTAAAAACATTAGGGAATATAAAAATGTTTTAAAAATTGTAAAATTCAAACTAGCACCACACTTAATGAGAATTCTACTACAAAGATCAATGTTGATAGACATAGAACAAGTAATATATTTAAGAGTAGAGCAATAAACTGTAAAAGAATGTCACTTTAGTTAGTTGCTTTGTACCCTCAAAAAGCTATTTTTTAGATAAAAAGAATGTAAGCATACATATCAGTCTCAATACTCCAGTAAGTGTAAAATTCATAAGTATGAACACTAGTCCTACAATATGAATAGACTAAAATTTAGACTTTAATAATAAAAACAAAATGTTAATCCAAATTTATACAAAGTGGCAAAGGCAAAGCTAGTCATTTCTGAAGGTCAAGCAGCCATTAACATTTTGCCTAGTGATCTTTACCAGACAAACCAAGAATGACCCAGACAAGGAGAGAATGACAGCCTATAAGCCAATGAAGAGGATTTATATTCAGATAGTTCAATCTGGATTTTACATGCTTGTTTTGTCTTAATTCTGGTTTGTTTGTTTTTTTGTTTTTTTTTTTGAGGGGGGTGGGTTGTTGTATTGATAAATCCTCACCGAGGATATTTTTTCCATTATTTTTTTTTTTTTTTGGAGAGTGGAAGGATGTTGGGAAGAGAAAAGAGAAAGAAATATTGATGTGAGAGAGACACATCGATTGGTTGCCTCCCACACGTCCTGAATGGGGTGGAGGATCAAATCTGCAACCCAGGTACATGCTCTTGAATGGGAATCAAACCTGAGACCCTTCTGTGAACTCTAACCATTGAGCCCACCAGGTAGGGCAGCTTTGCCTTAATTCTGCAAATACTAAATGGGAATAATGTGCTTTACAAAGTTTCTGTTTAACATTTGTAATAATGCATCAGGGTTAAAATAACAGGTAAGCGTTTAAAAAATGCTATTACTGGGATAAGGAAGTAGACCCAAATCAAGGAAAAATTGGTTTTAAGTTAATTGGCTAAACAATTACTTTTAAAAATCTATTTTTATTCATTTTCAGAGAAAGTGGGAAACACTGATCAGCTGTCTCCCGCACGCCCCCTACTGGGGATTGAGCCTACAATCCAGGTATGTGCCCAGACTTGAAATCAAACAGGCAAACTTTATGCACTGACTGGATGATGCCTAACCAACCTGTTTCACCATCAGGCTAAAAATTACTTTCTAAATATGAAGTAAAAAAGAGAGATAAACTGGAAAACAATAGGGAAAAAAGTAGCAGATACACATACTGGTATATGGGTTTTTTTTTCCTGGGGAAAAGAAAACCAAAAAGAGACTGTGGATAAATGGATTCTCATTAGCACTGTCTTCCCCATTAAAAAATTTTAAATGCAGCTGAAACCGGTTTGGCTCAGTGGTAGAGCGTCAGTCTTCGGGCTGAAAGGTCCCGGGTTCGATTCCGGTCAAGGGCATGTACGTTGGTTGCGGGCACATCCCCGGTGGGGGGTGTGCAAGAGGCAGCTGGGTGATGTTTCTCTCTCATCGACGTTTCTAGCTCTCTAGCTCTCTCCCTTCCTCTCTGTAAAAAATCAATAAAATATATTAAAAATATATATATATTTAAAAAAAAATTTTAATGTCTTTTTAAGCATGTTTTGATTCAGGGTTAACACCAATTAGATGAATTAATTTTTTCTATACATTAAAGTCTGAGGGATGGTAATTACCATAATGCAAGAGAAACTTGAATCATGGCCTTTAAAAATAAAGTTACAAACATTTCACAGTATCACATGTCTATTTTTTTTTTTTTACCTAATGTCCTAATCTAATTATAATAACTAAATTTCTTGATTAGGCTATCAACTGACATAAACAATTCTGATAAATCAGTGCACCTTAAAAATGTGTATACTTCTCATCTACTCTAGAAATGATTAGTTCTGCTCTTCCTTTAATAAATTAAACTCAGGTCCCAAAACTGATTCACTACAAATTCACTAAAATTCCTATGCAATCAGGCTTTGTAAACTAATTTGTGAGTTCTTGGAAGTAATGGATTTAAGTAATAAACATAAAAAAAGAAGAAAGTTAATTAAAGTAAAATACCCTTACATCCATAATCATTTTGCAGTTTTTACAAGGTCCAATCTGGCTAAAGAGCTGAAGAATTAGAGCTTCTGTCACATCTCTGGAAAGGTTACCGACATATCTGAAACACAAAGAAAAATATTTGCCATTTAAATTTGCTTCTTTCGATCAGTTTATACAGTTGCTTATTGAAAAATGAGTTTAGGAGCAGGTAGATCTTTACTCTAAACTACACTATTTGGGACTAGCTTATAAAAGTTTGCCGAAACTTTAAAATCTCTTTCAAAACGAATATATTATGTGCAAACTGCAAGTATATTAGACACTGCTAGTGGAGGAAAAGCTAGTGCGTGTTTTTGGTAAAGATGTTGCAAATTAAACCTGTTGTTTATTTCCAAGTTCCTAGGCTTACCTTAGAAAGATATTACTTTAAAAATCTCTCAAATTAGCCAGGACCGGTCTGGCTCAGTGGATAGAGCGTCGGCCTGCGGACAAAAAGGTCCCGGGTTCGATTCCGGTCAAGGGCATGTACCTTGGTTGCGAGCACATCCCCAGTAGGGGGTGTGCAAGAGGCAGCTGATCAATGATTCTCTCTCATTGATGTTTCTAACTCTTTATCCCTCTCTCTTCCTCTCTGTGAAAAATCAATAAAATATATTTAATAAATAAATAAATAAATAAAAATCTCTCAAATTAATCATTACATATACAGAACATTTTATACAATCAATTGTGGAAACCTTTGCAATTCTTTCTACTACAGTATTAGTAAGAACAATAAAATTTCCTCAATTTTTAATTCACGATTCTCCTAACACTATCCAATTTAAATTTACTTTGGTTTACACAATAAACAAATTTTTTGAAAAATCACAGGTAAATAATTTATCAGGTATTGCAAATGCTCACAAAGGAATAAAAAAAACTTTTCAGTGGATATCACTGGTCAGTGGATATGTAGCATAGGAAGATGCCAGGAGAGGTCTTTTAGATAATATAAATTGGTGACTAGCAAACTTAACTAGTATAATGTATTAGAAGATCACATGACTGAGATAATTTTTATTTAAAGAGTTTATAAATTTTCAAAATGGGACTTTGAAACCAGATCACCTCTAAAACGGTTAGAGTTAGAAGTTTATCACTTCTGAAATAAGAGAATGTAGACTCTCAACAACTGTAGTTTCTTATTCATCTGCCAAGAATCCTTCAGAAACGGAAAACATGTGTTGAAAGATCAAGACTTGCCCTGACTGGTTTGGCTCGGTGGTTAGAGGGTTTCAGGCTTGATCCAGGAGGCAACCAATAGATGTGTCTCTCTCATGTCAATGTTTCTCTTTCTCTCTTCCCCCTTCTCTCCCTTCCACTCTCTAAATCAACGGAGCCAGGCCAGTATTGCTCAGTAATTGAGTATCGACCTATGAACCAGGAAATCAGGGTTTGATTCCAGGCCAGGGCACCTGCCCTGGTTGTGGGCTTGACCCCCATTATAGGGTGTGCAGGAGGCAGCCAATTGATGATTCTCTCTCATCATTAATGTTTCTATATCTCTCCCTCTTCTCTCTGAAATTAATAAAAATTTTAAAATATATTTGTGTGTTTTTTTTTACAGAGAGGGAGAGAGTTAGAAACATCGATAAGAAACATCTATCAGCCACCTCCTGTACACCTCTTACTGGGGATGTGTCCAAAACCAAGATACATGCCCTTGACGGGAATCAAACCTAGGACCCTTCAGTCCACAGGCCAACGTTCTATCTATGAGTCAAACAAGTTAGGGCAATAGTTTTGTTTTTAAAGTGAGAGAGAGAAGTATCAATGTGAGAGAGGCTGCCTCTTGCACATGCCCTACTGGGGATCAAGCCCGTAGCTTGTGCATGGGCCCTCACTGGGAATAGAACTATGATCTCCTGGTTCATAGATCAATGTTCAACCACTGAGCAACACTGGCTGGGATTAAGCTCTCACTTTTATAACAGGGTTTTTCCTTACTATGTGATTACTTTGACACCCTGAAAATACTTATGGTATTAGGACTTACTCAGTTAATTTAATATGGTCTGCCTAAATTTATTGATTAGCATTTTTTCTGCAAAGAAGAGCTTTTTCCTCAACAACTAAAGCTATTAGATTACACCCCACTGGAGTTTCTAATCAAAAGGCAAGGTAAATGCTTATAGGCGATAATGCTTCTCTCCCTCCAACTGTACTGAGTTTCAGAACAAGGACTTGTTATACTACTAACTTCTGATCCTGGAAAAACTGTTATTGGGTAAATGTTGGCTTTGCTTTTTTGAGTATCATTATTCTACTTGATAGATTCAGTACTTCTCCCTTTACCATTTTAATCTCTTCCAGAGCCTTCAGCACTCAATATGTTTATTGAATGGGTAAATGGAAGGAGGGAAATGAATCCGTGTTTTCTGACATGTATAAATGTGGGGTTTTTTGTTATTAATCCTCTACCAAAGGTATATTTTCCATTCCTCTCTTTCTCTCAAGTCAATAAAAACATTAAAAAAACAAACAAGTGAGAGCTTTGGCTGTTTTAACATTTTGACCCAGTGATCAAACTTTTAATCACTTTATAGATGGGCAATGAGACATTGTGTGTTCAATATGAATTACACAACATCACCTGTGAAGTAGTCAACTCAAAAAGGTCTAACTTGAATCTAGTCAAGCTTAAATTTAGACTAAAGCTTACCAAATATTGAACATATAAAACAAATACATATATTTAGATATGGGATACTGTATAAGGCAACTTACTTGATCTCTTCAAAATATTCTTCTAAAAAAAGTACTAAAAGGAAGGCCCAGCCAGCATGGCTCAACGGTTGAACATGAACCAGGAGATCACGGTTAAATTCCCAGTCAGAGCACATAGCTGGGTTGTGGGCTCGATCCCTCATGTGGGGCATGTAGGAGGCAGCTGATAAATGATTTTCATCCTTGATGTTTTTCTCTCTCCCTTTCCCCCTTCCTCTCTGAAATCAATAAAAATATATTTTTAAAAAGTGGGGGGCAGGGCAGAGTGGACTGTTCTTATTTAAAAGGACTTAGAAGACACTGAGAACTAAATATTGGGGGGTCGGAAACTAAGTAATTGCGGGTTTCACACATATATGGCTTCAGTTGAATTTTTAGGTTTGCAGACGTAGTACAAATGTAAAACACATTTTGTTATTTGATAGTTGGCTATTCAGCTGTTAATCAGTAAAAAAAGTTTTTTGATCTGTTTTGTAGTTTTCGTTTGGCGTTCGTTGAAAAATGGAAAATCAAAAGGAACATTTTCGTCATATTTTGCTTTTTTATTTCCGCAAAGGGAAAAACGCATCGCAAGCTCATAAAAAGTTATGTGCTGTTTATGGTGACGAAGCCTTAAAAGAACAGCAGTGTCAAAATTGGTTTGCCAAATTTCGTTCTGGTGATTTTTCACTCAAAGATGAAAAACGCTCTGGTTGTCCAGTTGAAGTTGATGACGCCCTAATCAAAGCAATAATCAATTCGGACTGTCACAGTACAACACGTGAGATTGCAGAGAAGCTTCATGTATCACATACATGCATTGAAAATCACTTAAAACAACTTGGCTATGTTCAAAAACTCGATACATGGGTTCCTCACGAACTGAAAGAATCACAGTTAACGCAACGCATTAGCAGCTGTGATTTGCTAAAGAAACGTAATGAAAATGATCCATTTTTAAAACAACTGATAACTGGCGATGAAAAATGGGTTGTTTACAACAATATCAAGCGGAAAAGATCGTGGAGCAGGCCAGGTGAACCAACTCAAACAACATCAAAAGCTGATATTCATCAAAAGAAGGTTTTGTTATCAGTTTGGTGGGATTACAAAGGAATTGTCTACTTTGAACTCTTACCACCCAACCGAACGATCAATTCTGATGTCTACATTGAACAACTAACGAAATTAAACAATGCAGTTGAAGAAAAGCGGCCCGAATTGACAAATCGAAAAGGTGTTGTATTCCATCATGACAATGCAAGGCCACACACATCTTTGGTCACTTGGCAAAAATTAATGGAGCTTGGTTGGGATGTTTTGCCACATCCACCATATAGTCCTGACCTTGCACCATCTGATTACTTTTTGTTTCGATCTTTACAAAACTCCTTGAATGGTAAAAATTTCAATAATGATGATGATGTCAAATCGTACCTGATTCAGTTTTTTGCTAATAAAAACCAGAAGTTTTTTGAACGTGGGATTATGATGCTGCCTGAAAGATGGCAAAAGGTCATTGATCAAAATGGGCAATACATTACAGAATAAAGTTATTTAGTTCCATAAAAAAATTGTGTTTTAAAATCCGCAATTACTTAGTTGCCGAACCAATATAATAAACAATATTTGACTGAATCCTGGATTGGGGAGGAGAGATAGCTTTTTCTTGCAGAATGCTAATAAATGTAGAAGGAATGAAGAAAATGATCATTAAAATACTATAGTAGTAACTGCAAATGGCAAAATTCACCTATGGATATTTTATAGTTGATATAACTTTAAGAAGAAATAGGGTGTGTAGAGCCTTGAATTATCTCAAAAAATACTTATTACTGATTTCAACCAATGAAATGATTGTTTTAATATATATTCACAAATTCTTTGATATGCCTTCCTCTATGAAGTCCTTAATTTCTTTCTGTTTCAGTCTGGGTTAGTCTTAGTGATCCAAATCTATTATAATTTTTTTTTTTAAATATATTTTATTGATTTTGTACAGAGAGGAAGGGAGAGAGATAGAGAGCCAGAAACATCGATGAGAGAGAGACATCGATCAGCTGCCTCCTGCACACCCCCCACTGGGGATGTGCTGGCAACCAAGGTACATGCCCTTGACCGGAATCGAACCCGGGTCCCTTCAGTCCCCAAGCCGACGCTCTATCCATTGAGCCAAACCGGTTTTGGCCAAATCTATTATAATTAATACAATAGAGTTATGTTGAGAAAAGTAGTCACTGTAAAGTGAAGAAACAGTACTCTTCAAAAGTGCCGTGATTAAAGTTATCTTCTCATATTAAAGGAGAATAAAGAGCCGAAACTGGTTTGGCTCAGTGGTTAGAGTGTCAGCCTGCAGACTGAAGGGTCCCG